TTAACCTGCCACTTTATAATCTACTCGATGTCTGAATTGATTTTACCTTCAAATGTGACATCAGTTTTATCACAGCCATGCTTGTTAAATGATTACAGGGTAGCGTTTCGTTTCTTCATTTACACGTTCCACTTTGTCCAATAAGCGGAGGTGAGCAGTGTCAAATTGGTGGTACTAGTGATTCGTTGGCAGCGACCTTGTCCGACACACTCGCATCGAGCACGCATCACGCACTCGCTTGAATAAGTGCGTTACGCAGATCATGTCGACTCTGAACATATATTTTTTTATGTTCGCATATTTGTCACCACTTAAAAGTTATTGGCGAACTGATTGTTACTGTAGTGCTGTCGGCACGGTCTTACATGGACGTGACATCTCAACAGAATAGCTCTGGAGTGTCTGCTCTCTTCTCACTAAAGTTTACAGTTTATGGAGGTGTTTATCCTTGTGTAAGCTATTCATATTCTACGGTCGATTAGCGAGCCTCTTGACCGCTATGCTACCTGCAATGGCTTTGGCACGGAGCGCCGAGTATGAGATCAACAATGTCAAGGCACGGTTATGTTATTGTTGCACAATACACTGGCCCACTCAACACCTATGGTTAGCCGCTGGAGGTCGGATATCAAAAACACGCCAAGCTTTTTGTATGCTACAGTCCAAAGTGCGATGCAATTGCGTGCAATTCTACATTACAATTGCAAATGGTCACTTTAAAGTAAGCGGTCATGTGTATCGTTGGCAGTTTTTCTCCTTCGCATCCCGATTTGTTCTTGTTGTCGATCGTTACATATTAATCTGTTTCCACGAAAGGCCATTTTTTTTGTTACACTGGTAATACTTGCAGGGCTTGTCGTGATTTATATGTTTCCCGTTGAATACATTTTAACAATTTAATACGAAATTTTCATGATTTGGGCAGAACATACGTAAATCTTTTTAATTTCGGTAGCATTTTGTAGTCGTGTCTATTTGGTAGTGGTGTTTATTATGAACACCGTAAATTGTATGTAAATGTTAGTAGATATTAAAAATGTGTAGTAGAGGTCGGCGGGTGGGTCCATTATGTCGAGCGCGTAGAGGGCAGTAAGTCAGTGTATCTCAGACAGGTCTCCGCCCCGGGGTGTCCGATGTCCGAGCCTGGTTTATGCAGGCACACCTACTCGGAAGATTTGCTTCACACGACTGTCTCGGCACCTGAGTTATTACCCTTAATCAGACTTTCGTTTATTTCGCATTTATTTTTATCGGATTTCGATTTCGTTGCATTGTTGTTTTGTGATCATCTTCACATACTATATTTGGTTCGGGTTTAATCACTGGATGTTTATTTACATTAAAATTAATCTTGTTCACTTTATCAATATTAAAATCGAAGATTATAAATCACCATGTATAAGCACGACGCATCACGGAGTCTGGAAGGGTCATTGGTGCTCGTTGAAATTATTGGTGTCACTGAACTTTGCAGTTATCACATCGCAAATCTCTGTATTGGTTACGAGTAATTATGGCCGGAGTACTTATCGTCCACATAAATCATTTGTCTCATAGACACTTAACAGCTGCTGTTGAAAATTAATACACGCATTAAGTTGAATTTGATTTGCAAATAGAGTCTTAGTGGCTGAGGCAAATATGTTTGTAAGCGTTATTACCTATTGGATCGGCTCTAAGGATTGTGCTCAATTAAAATAACTAGAACTTGCTCCTAGGAATCTACACGTAGCATGTCGAATTAATATGAATTTTAAATGCTGCTGATATATTCTTAATAAAAACTATTGTTATTAAGAGATGAGTAACGCGCGCTAATTGTTGGTTGTTCTGTAAAAACTCCGGTAAGCAAGTACCGAGCCATCACGTCTCGATTATTTGTGTTGTCAGTAATTCTTCGTCAGCTTGTTCCGTAGTTGTTCGGTTAACTTTGTGCACAACCATGAATCTCGTTAATTAATAGTCAGTGGGCAGAAGCCGGTTTAATTTAATTAAGAGCCAAACTAATTTTACTATTAATACTCACCTCGGTATATGTTACTTTTTGGTACTATAAGCCGGTTTTCCGTTAATAAACCTGTGAATTGGTTAGTAGATTGCACCAGTGCTTGTGTCCGTAGTAACATTACTACAAGTTGTTCATCGTTCACAAACAAATGTGCCTCTTCAGTTAATTGTGTTGTTATGTCAATGCGTAATTTTCAAATCACTTCACAAGAATACAAATTAGTTGTACAAGGCTTTTTGAGTTTACAGCTCTATGAAGCACTTTATAACTACCTATTTGATATTTCTCTATACTTATAGCTAGCTTAGAATGAACGCTACAATTAATAGAAGGCAAAATATTTGAAATACTTGCGCTAACAATTGTAGTCTGTCAGGAGCAGTTGTTGGTGCATCTGCTTTCCATGTAAAACGATAAATATTTGTATGCGTAAGACAAGTGTTTGTCCTTTGTTTTAAGACTTGCTGCAACCTGGTAGAGTCGCTGCTCTGCAAGGTACAGGGCATTAAACGTGATATAATCTATAGATAGCGTTTGAATTGAGTTCATCAGTAACCGATTAAATGACACAATAATTTATCTAGACTAGGTCTAGGTCCTCGCAGAGATTTATAATGAAGTTTCGCCGCTAGTAACCGCTGCACTTCTCATTCGTGCCTGCCACCGTCATTGTAAATTGTACCTTACGTTATTAAACTGGGTTTAAAATGGAGATTAATGTCGAGTGCACAGTGTCATCGGCAACAGGTATCTGCTCACTTACCTTGACCGCGCACGTTGTCCTCTCACTTATAGAATGATCATAGACGTCTTCGATGCGCCCGCGCCATTATCGTGCACCCTCAATTGTGTTCCTCACACTTTTCATATATTTGACCTTCTCCTAATTAGAGGTTGTATCTGCGAAAATAATAGTATTTTACTCGGAATTTTCATCACATCTCTTGTTTCGATTTATAACAAAGTTGAAGATTTATGATACTTTTTGTAGTCTCTTTAATTTTATACCAATCTCGATTTGTATGAATTTCAAAATGTATGTATGAGACCGTGACTTTGTTTCTTATTTTTCCCGAAAAGACCCCGCGAACTGTATCTTTTTGTGTTGAAGATGAATTTTGATGCGGGTTGACGTCGAATATGTTCTTTTGTGATTCATTTTGTCGTGTCACTGAATTGTAAGTGAGGACGGGGCGTTGAGCAATATTTTGTCTCCTTCCTAACACGCGCTCACTTTATCTGATTTCCACACGCGTCTCTAATTTAAATATGAGCGTTTTATAGGTGTTGCGTTGACACTATACTTATTCAATTTATGTCAATAGATTGTCCGGCGCTCGCCATATTCATATGATTCATTGCCACTCAATCGCGATGGGAGATTAAATAAATCGTCAGTCGCCGTCCTCGCATCGTCGATGTGATTGTATGTGCGTGCGGGGTTGACTTTCATACAATATTGCCGCCAATTAGATCGTGGCGTCTCGCAACGCTGCCTAGGACACCGAGTTCACTTTGCTTAGAGATCGATTTCGTGTGACTTTCGTCTGGGTGTGTTTCATCTACCTCGTGCTGAGCGGTTTTTACTTCAAAAATATTTCACCTAATGTGTTTTACAACATGCCCCGTTGATTTCTTAACATCGTGCTTGTCATTCAGAGATTTTTTGATAATTATTTCGAGGTGTGGTGCATACACATTTTGAATTTGGCTACATATCAAAGACGTACGATTCTTCTCAGAAATAAGATGTGTATTATGTTAAAAATGCTTTATTGTAAAGGTCGAGCAGTGTTGTCATTTGAGATAAATAGACTATTTTGTATGACTTTAGTACAGCAGCAGCAGTAACCCGCTCCACATCACTGCCATATACCTATTTACTGTGTACCGTTATCACTGAAGCGATAGCACTTGGTCGATAGCTCGACCATTGCACAAGTTCGTGGGCTTATCTCAGAATGCAGTTTACTGTGCACTTCATTTGGCATCAGACGTGAAAAAATGGGTCGTCGAAATCTTCCCTAAATTTAATAAATTATCTGTTATAGTATATCTTGGCAATTAGTACCTAGTATCAGTAAAATAGTTTCCATCTGGAACTGGTCGGTGTAGTGCAATAGTGCGTCGTGGTCGGTGTCGCCGGTGGTCATCGGCCCCCATCGGTGAGTTTCGCAAGTCCAGTTAACCGTATGAGTCGATCACATTAATATTCTACGGTTGATTTTATTGCGAACCTAGCGCTTACCTCCACCTCCGTAGGTACAGATTTTATATATTATTTATAGATTTAGATGCCCATTACATGTGAGTTTGATAAGAATTTGTTTCATAACAGCACACATGATTATATGTAATTAATATTTAGGTAAATGAATGTGAATGTATTTCCTTTGGGACAGTAAAGAGACAAAGACATTCCGTAGTGTCGAGACGAGAGGGAATCTTCAGTGAAGGGCGGCACGCAGACGGCTTTCATCGTGTGTAAATGCGTGCCGCACAAAAAATGGATAGACGGCCAATAAAAACCCCGTGTGGAGAGAAGCTGAGGGGCGGGCTCGCGGGTGCAGCGCGCTGCGCCAGTAATTGCAAGTTGCAGTCAGTCTCCGCCGCGCTGGGTGCGCGCACGCAGCCTCCTTCCATCCCTCGCCCGCAGTCGGGTGAACGACTCCCCAACAAGTATGCGTACGAGTCGTACGACACACCACCGCCACATTGTGCCCGCTCCTTGTTTTCGCGAACGTTGATCAATCTGTATGTTTGGGTCCCGTTAACCGGAAGCGTGGGCTGCGTCACTGGTGTTTAGCTTAGCGTGCGTTTCGTTTTCGCTCGGGCGGTCACATAGACTTGATAGCATAGGGGTTGTGTAATATTCGCGTCATTAACCGCGTAGACGTGACGATCATGACGTGAGTTTATCTCGGAATAACGTTGCAATTGTTTGTCAGGTTTGTAAATACCTAGTGTTAAATGAATTTTTCTGTTTTGTCGCAGGGCGAACGTTGTCGCTACAGTATCATCAGCGGGTGGGGAGGCTGGTCCCCCGGGCCCGGCGACCGAGGGCACCGACATGAAAGGTGTTGAGGCTACGCCAGAAGAGCAGGAACGGCTAGCAACCGGAAACAACAATGGGTCGCTGGACTGCAAACACACGGCCGCCGACCCGCAGCCGCTGCAGGGACGCTCCGTGTTCCACTCGACGCGGGTCTTCATGTTGGTGTTCCTGTCGGGTTGGATACTGCAGGGCATGTTCCTCACCTACTTCGTTAGTGTAACGACCACAATAGAAAAATTATTTAGAGTAGAATCAAAGACGACGGGGACGTTACTAGCGGCTACGGAAATAGGCCAGATATCTACAGCACTGATCCTGACGTACCTGGCAGGCCGCGGACACCGGCCACGATGGATCGCCTGCATGATGATCGTGCTGGCGGTGGGTGTGGTCGGCTGTATCATGCCACACCTTCTCTATGGCACTCAGCTGCTCGAAGTGCACCAGGAAGAGCATCAAGGTGGCGCCGCGCCTGTTTGCTACAGCTACCAGAACTCCTCCGACTTGTGTGATGCCCCACACATAAAGAGCTCGACCACACGGTCCTCCATCACTTCTGTTGTCATCCCATGGCTGTTTATTTGCCTGCTGATAGTGGGCGTGGGGCAGACTGGGATAGCCACGCTGGGTATTCCATACATAGATGACAACGTCGGCAGCAGGCAGTCACCACTTTACATGGGTGAGTAGATATTTATTGTTATGGCTCTCCACAGTTTTGTTAGTTAATTGTATATATGTATGTAGGTATATAGTTACCGGCAGAGGTGCGCCTGAGAATCCCTAGGGCGTGTTCCGTAAAACAAAAGCAAGATGATCGTATGCTGTATAAATTCGGTGTCTCGATTAAGATAATTGTTAGCGTTTTGTATTACGTACTCAACATACAATAAATTGGGCACATAAAAGTGTTTAAATCATAGCCGCCGCCCACGGCCCGCCTACAGCGTACTTTGCCGGCCGCCCTCTGAGGCCTTAGTACGAGTTTGTTTTACGTTTAAAGTAATCGTAACGAGTACGCGTTCGGCGCTGTGATTGGTTGATTCATTGGCGCCGGCCAATCAGTTCGCCGAACGCGTTCTCGTTTCGAATACTTTAAACGTAAAACAAACTCGTACTAAGGCCTCTGATGCGTTGCGTAATTAACAATCGGTTTGAGCGCATCCCGCGTTAATTGCAATTTTGTACAAACATCTTTTTACAATATTCATGTTTATTGAAGTTCTTTGAAGCAAGTACGTCTATCTATGTAGGTTTTCAGTGCCACGAGCTTGGTTAGTATGGTGTAGTTCTTATAAGTGCATTGTAAAGAGTAATGATTTAAGCAATTGATTTTGTATGGCGGTTTCACGGTCGGTCGTCGTAACAGCTCAAAAACTGAAGTCAAAACATTTGACAAGGTTAATATAAAGTGCATAAACGCAAACAATAGATGTTTGGGTGTCGCGAAGTGGAGTACACCGTGCACACGTATCCTAACCGTGGAGCGAGTGGATTGTTGTACCCGCGTTTTCCATGCAACCATTTTCTAGGAAGGTAAAAGGACCCTCGATAGATTCCGGACTATTATCGATTAGTTTTACTGCTAAAGGAATCGAAATAAGCTTATCGATTACAACTTCCAGTATAGGGTGCTCACTTAGAACCTCTACGCTTTTTGTTAAGTTTCTGATGAGTGTAATTGTAGGGAAAATAATACTTTTCCGATTTTGAATATTAAATCTTATATCGATATACCAGTTTCTGTAATCGATTACATTAAAGCTTGTTAGTTATGCTGATGATTCAATTTTATTATGTTTACCTTCGACATTTCATAATTGCTCATTTGAATTTGTTATGTCTTCGGATTCAAAATATTTACTATGTTGTAGTGCGAAGGTAGACGGGTATATAAAAATGTGGATTGACCAGTAGACTAGACTTAAAATATCTCAATAACTATTATGGAATTATTAATAATGTTTTCATTTCACAATGCTCTCATGTAATTTGGGCTTTGACGTAAATGGAAAATCTCTTGGTAGAAAGAGACGTTTAGCTTATTTTTTTACAACATTGGGTACTTATTTTTCGTTTGTTAATTTAATAGATGAAAAGTTGTTCTTGGATGTATTTTAATGGTAAACTATACCATTGCAAGAAAGGCCAGGAACTTTTGCAATCTTTTTAGATTGTTTATTGTTGATGCATTTATATCCTCCTTCCATAAAGTAATTATATTCATGTGAAATCAAATTTGGGACATTTTTTCATGGCATAAGCCGGTAAACGAATAGACGGATCACCTGATGGTAAGCAATCGGCGTCACCCATGGACACCTGAAACGCACTGGCGTTTCACGTGCGTTACCGGCCTTTTGGGATTAGGAATTTGAGAATCGTTGGGGATTCAGGGATTGGGAAGGGGTCGGGGAGGGGGGAATTGTGTCTCCAGTAGCCACACTCACACGACGAAACATAACGTAAGCTGTTTCACGTCGGTCTTCTGTGAGGCCGTGGTATCACTCTGGTCGAGCCGCCCCATTCGTGCCGAAGCAGGGCTCTCCTACACTTAAGATCTGATCTGTTTGCTCAGACATACGATTGTATTCTTTTCATTTGATTACTCTTAAAATGTTCACAAATCCCTTTTGTCATGATACAGCAGTAATAAGAACATATGTATATGTTCTCTATAGTCCTTTAAACTGTCAAACACCAAGCGGTCACCGGTGACCGCGACCTATTGTTCTTTAATTGTGTCTATAAAACCGGTACTCGACGAGTTAATGACAAATAACTATTACTGATGCACAAGCAGCTTCTGTATGAAAATGAGAGCATACTCGTGTATTTGTAACGACCTGATAATATAGATTAATGTTCTACTGAACTTGCAAATGATTAGATAAACATAGAATAAGTCTGTTTGTTACTGGGTCAGTACATATCTGATAATCTTGACATGTATTTGCGATTGGCAGGCTTTTATCTTGTGTTTTAGGGACGGAGAATAGTGTTATTATGATTGAGGTTAGTCTCAAAGTTTCAATAATTATTTGTTGGTACATTTTTGGCAACTAGAGATAGAACTTTAACTGCACACTGGCTTCCGCGCAACGTGTAGCGTGTTTCATTCCCGCACGGAACAAATCTGTGATCCACAGATAGTTGTTCCGGATCTAGATGTCATGTGTATATGAACTTGTATGTTTGTAAACGTACCCACGACACAGGAGAAAATCCTAGAGTGGGGGAACGTATAAAAATATAACAGAAGCTTTATTAAACTGTCAAACACCAAGCGGTCACCGGTGACCGCGACCTATTGTTCTTTAATTGTGTCTATAAAACCGGTACTGGACGAGTTAAATGTATTTATTGTCTTTGGTTTGGTTTATTCTAAATGAGACACGCAGAGTATAAGAGTCTATTCACAAGGGTCGTTTGATGGTTTTCTATTTGGTATTCAAACAAATCTAATAGGTATACTTCGCGAGGTTTTTTGAAGTTTTAAAGCGAAAACCAACGTCTTTTGGATTCTCAACGTTCTTGTCGTAAAATAGTCCTTTAGTGATAGTAAAATAAAGTAATTCAAGATCCTATTTATAGCTGGGATTTAAACTAAAGTTCAAGACTGGGTATAAACCTTTCAGACTCGAATTATGTGCAAGCCACGGAGGATCTCAACAATATAAAGATATTACTCATTAGTCATTAGAATAATTATTTCGCCGCCATTTCGTTTTATTGGCCATCCTACGATATTACTTGCAAAAGCGCATGTTTAAACTTTATAGTTTAATTTAATCGAATGCTTCTAGCTTGTGCAGTTATAGTTTGTTTATTTTACGCGTTTCAAACAGCATTGTCCATCGTTTGTAATAAAATAGATGTTTAACATATGAGATGAAGTTCATCTAATTGGTTTGGTCTTTCTGTACATGCTCTTATTTATCAACGCAATACTAAATGACTCAATCTTTGCAACAAAAGTTGAGCACACAATTAATTAATTCGGTAATTATGCAATCCTAATCCCACATAATGAGTAAAGGCAGAAGGAAACATTATTTAATCACACGCACTGCATTAAGCTAATATATTTAACCAATTAAATCCAATTTAGTTAATTAATGGTGACCTAAATAAGGCAGAGTGCGCACGGTCGGTTGTGTACCAGTGTACTCTTGATTATGTGGGTCAAATATTACGTGTGTTCGTGACCTTATGTCTTAGGTACGTTTTCTAAGGGCACTGTAGGGCCATGAATCATTATAACTACGTGTCACTTTGAAGGTAAACTGCATCTGTTTGTACCAGTAACTGATCATGCGTAAGTTTTGTTGAAATGTCCCATTTATTTGTGTTAGCTCATTTGTTCCACTTCCACGGCCGTTCCACGGCTATGTTGAAATTTGAAATGACTTTTTGCTTCATATACTTAAAAGCTTTTATTGATTTATATCTGTTTTTATGTCTTTTCCATACTAAATTCCTTTATAATAGTATTGAAAACGGCTTTTAGTTTTACTGCAGTTACACAATAATTATTATAAGGCAACCTTATTGAAATCTAGGCAATCAATCATCTAATTTCAAATAGCTAAATTCCACAAATTACTGCTAGATCATTATAAAATTTGCCTCCAGGGCCTCTAAAAGACTTTGGATCAATGTCTATTGCACAATATCATTTGAGTGATTTTATAGTCTGCCCAATCGACTTAGGGTTTCTATCGACGTATACTTCATTTGTTTTCTAGAACACACCACACCGCACCTATTTTCCTTGTATTGTTTTTGTGGGACTTTGTTCACATCCTATTTCGTCGTAAGTTGCATAACCAACCTTGTTGATATTCACGTGTTGATCAATATCTGTGCCGTCATTTAAATAAAAGAAGCGTTGTATAATACCTATAGGTAGGTTGAGTTCATTGGCCCCAGCATAATTGCCATTGATTTTTCGATCGATGTGCGCACGTCATACAGTTCTGATGATAACTCGCTTATTCGAGACTGTTCTTGAGTGAAGCCCTGTGGAGTTGAACGTATGCAATGGCTATTTCAGTAGGTGTTTGTCGAAGTATGTCAGTGTGCCGACACGCGTCGCGGCGACAATTTCAGTTCGTTGGTGTCAGTATGTATCTCGTTCCTTAGAGACGGGTTGCCCTAATTTCGTCCCTCACGCACGAGGCTCGGGAGTGGTCGACCCGTTTCCTCGAGTTGCGTGGCTTCACTTTCACAACATGCGTATTTTTGTTCGTATTTTGTAACGATCTCGATGTTACACACCAACGTTGCTTGTATTTCACTGTTTTCTTCTGCTCTTTCATTCTTTTTATTTTTGTACAACTTGCGGGTTTGTTGTATTATTAACGCTGTTTACAACCTTCTCAGTTCTGTTTCATTAAGTACAATTTCTGTGTGTTATGTTATTACTATGGTATTTCAAAATTCTGAAAATTTGCTCTGTTATCCAATGCCTAATAGCGTTTCATATTGTTGGTATTTGAAGGAAACAAATATGTTGTGAAATTCGATAGTTGGGTTTAATCATAATTAAATTATTAATGCAGAAAGTCCGAGCATATTTGATATTAAATATATTGTGATATACTAAGGGGGAGGCCTTTGTTCAGCAATGGACGTCTTTCGGCTGCTGATGATGATGTATTAGGTAGCTACATTGTACGGAGCCGCGGAAGACTTAACGGGTTGCCGGGGCTCCGGCTAGAAGTGCAGGAGTAGGAACGGGGTGGTTGGTAGTCAGTAAGGGTCTGACACTCCCTCCCGCCTCACCCGGGCGGGAGAAGTCATTGGATGATTTAAAAAAAAAAGGTAGCTACATTGTGGGTTTAATTTATTCAGGACGATGTGGAACGGTGAATTGTAAGGTTTTCCTTATGGTGAATGTAACTTTTATCTCTTTAACGCAGTGATTCATAAAATTTTCACAGAAGATATCACGAGGCTCTCATTTAGGCCAATGTTGTACCTACACACATTCATATGCTAATTTATAGCACCGCGTTTTTTTCTAAAACTGGATATTTTATGATCAACATGCTAAAAGATGCTAAAAGGATCGGAACGGAAATGCCTTAATGACATTTTTTCGTATCTAATTAATTTTAATCACTATTTTGTTGACGTAAATGCATCCTGGGCTTTCATGGCAAAAAATATAATTTATGGAGTCTGTCTACAAACATTTGAAGAATACCGATGACACTGTAAATATCGTAGTGGGTTACACGGCCCATTTGAAGTACTTGGAAGTGCACGAGGAAGAATACAGCGACGTGCTCGACTCCAAAGGATGAGAAACATTTACAATCAATTACAATCTCGTATCGTAATTTCGGAATGTTTTTTTTTTTAATCATACTAAGTTATCGGTCTTCAATCTGATTGCGATTAATTATGCCTTGTACAGACGAGAAAATTACCTCGTTATTACGTTGCCACAGTATTGCAATGTGCACCTTATGCAACTTTTTTGCGAGTGCACTATCAAATTGCGCTCCAACTAATCATTTGTTAGTGTAGTTGTCATAGGTCAGTTTCTTGCGACATCGCTAGATTAGATTACGTCTCTAAGATTAGATATGATTATGTTCACTGTTATTATCGTACTCGCGATTGATTAAGTTTTGATGACGTCGAATCGCTTTTATTTCTTCAACTACTAGCGCATTGATTAATATTTATAACTCTGAAACTATTTCCTGTATATCTGTTTGTACAGGTGTCTTCGTGGAAGCGTCACAGCGGTTGCTATTATTGTGTTTTCCATACGAATTAGTCATACATCTAAAAATGATTTTGCATTCCACGGAGCAATGAACTCTGCGACGATTAGGAATTGTGTTCCTATTTCTTGGTCACTAAAAATATCGTGACTTGCAAATATTGTTGCAGTAAATTGGTCTGATGCAGGCGGTATTTAGTGCTTAGTTATTTAAAAAAATCCGAAGGTTACGGTAATCAAAATAGGGACGATAACTATAACATTAATAACCAGAATACAATATTTACATTAATTTAGTATTCTATAGGAGGAAGACTGCCGTGGAACTAGTCGTTTAGTATTTGCAATACCTGCTTACGATGCACTCATGCTCCTATAAACGGAACTTGATGCGACAGAACTTGTCTGACACCGTATTTAGATATGAATATTGACTCCTAAGGTGCAACTTCAGGCCTATAAAAGTGCGTTGTGAGTTCTGTAAGTTTTTGTATAAAACTAGTCGTATATCAGAGGTGATTGTGGCTGACAGTTCAGATGACCTTATTTACAGAGGCGGGCTCCACAAGGTTATCTCTGCGAGCCCTGTTGGCTTTCATATCACCGTATTTATGTTTGTCTCTATTATTGTAGATAGCGCGGTTCACTCATCCACTTATAAGCGTGCACTAAGCAAGGTGCAAAAAGCTGCACGTACCGATAATACCCAAACTGCGATTGCCTATCGGGGTCCATTTAATGATGTAATTCGTCATTTTTGACAATCACTGAGCGTTAATTCGAGGGAGCAGCACTTGAACGATGTTAATGATGCATCGGAACCGGTAAGGACGAGTGTACCGGGACATAATAAAAACTTGTACCGAGACACGGACCGCGGCCGTTTTGAAAAACGATCCTGACGAGGCCATTATTTATTACAAAAGCGCATGATGATAATAGGAACGTATATTTTACTTTGTACCGAACGTGAAGCACGCGAGCTGAACGCACGCCTGTCCGTTTTTTGGCAAGCGATGCGGTTGGTTTCTGGGAAAGATTACATTCGGGACCTAAGTACCTGATTGTTTTTCGGTCACTCACCCTGCAACGGTCCTTTGTTATTTTATTATAACAGGTTTTAATTTAATTTCGAAAATTGGGACAGTTCTTACGCAAGTTCAGGCGCGTCGGATGGTTCGTCTTCGGACTGCGGTCGTGGCAGTGTGTCGCTCATTTTGTTCTTATTACGTATTTAAACGAGTTGTTTACTGTCTGTGTGATGTAGCAATAACAACATAATTTAATGGGTTGCAATAATATTAGCATTTCTCGGAACAATAATGTTAGCAATCATGCAGGCTTGCAGTACTTGCAGTTTGTTCGTTTTTTTTCGTTCTAACATAAAGTAGCTGTTTGCAGCAGCGATCGTTGACAGCGGCAATTCCTCATACGATAATTTGTTGTGGCGAGTTCAATGGCCCTCAATTAGCCCCAGAGCCCTAGCCCTATTGAGATAAACGACTGCGGTCCTCTGTGTGTGCGAGAGTCCATCTCAATTTGCATAACGACCATCTCCGCCTCACCGATTATGCACATTAATATTTACTACGTCATTTAATGACCCGATGATAATATTTCCTCGAGTTAATTCAGTACTGCTGTTTAACATAGCATCTGCAGTTTCGTGCAATGGAGCGGTTTCAGTGAAGCGTGCAGTGGAAAATGTATGCGTTTCGTGTGTAGATGTCGTAATAGGAGCAGAATCTGCCAGCGTAATATTATTTAATACATCGTAAGAGCAAGACATGTAATTGGTTACAATGTTTGTGGTATGCGTAGATATTGTGATGTTTTATCTTTACATAGTGCTACTGAAAGCTGGTAATTTTTTTTCTTAGCGTATTTAAGGACCTGCATACGTAGCCTGATACTGCAAATGTTGTACAACAGATTTTTGCATAACGATGATGGATTTGGTATTTTGAAAAAGTTTAATCATCGATCGATAAACGTCTCTCAAGCTTAAACAAAAAGAAGCAACACTAATTTATTACCCAGGAATTAAAAATATAGGCTTTTCTTTCTATGTTAAAAACTCTTTGGATAAACTCGACGATAAAGTCTATCTTGTAGCTAATCCTGAGGAAATTACGTTACGCTTAGTTTCTCGTAAAACCAGACTCGTAAGTCTCGTAAGTTATATGTCCTCTTGCATTCCACTGGACTCCATAACTTTATAAAGCAGCCGGACGTGAGCGTTGTGGTTTGTCAGTCTTATGTGATTGTTTTGTTCTGATTTCAATAGGTTGTAGTATCTCGTCCTCTACAAAAAAAGTTTTTTCTGTATGTTCTACAGGATCAAGTTTCCCCATTATTGCCGCTGTGTCGTTTATTTATCGATAATGTTTCTCTGCGTGTTGTTTAACTATATAATGTGCCCGTTGGTGCTATCTCTCGTCCCTCCCTACACAATATTTTTTTGGTTGATAAAAAATGCGTGGATAACGAAAGGGAGTGCGGCTACAAAGGTCGCCATGTTTTTTGTCGTGTTCGAATTTCCTGTTGGAAGTTTTTATGGAGTTTTTTTTGTCCTTAAAAGCTGCCCTCAAATTTGAGAAAGATTTTTGTAGGTCTGCATTTACTTCTTCCGTAGATTTTGATTCAGGTCATTATTTTATAATAGAATAAAATAGAAAAATTCTTTATTGTAAACCATATAACCATAGTAAAAAAGTAGTAATACTTTAAAATGATTTCTATCTTGTATTAATCATTCTTTTACTTTGTCCTCAGCTATTACCATCGGCATAAGGGTCCTAGGCCCTGCAATGGGCTTCCTCCTGGGGGCTCTATGCACCAGGGTCTACGTGGACCCGCTGACGGACCCAGGATTCGATGCCAGTGACCCGAGGTGGGTTGGAGCTTGGTGGTTGGGTGAGTTTTACATTTTTTTTGTTTAATGCAATAAAATAATATAGCTTGCATCAGTACATTTATCCTAATAGAAAAATAATGTCAGTTTGTCAGTAGGTTTACATATAGAATCTATTTGTAGTGTTGAACTAGCACAACTGTGTCTAGCGATTGCCTGTAACCGATAGCATAATATCCATTAATTATTATGTTGCATAAACTGTTCTAATGTTCTATACACGTCCATCCAGTCGCGTTAATGGTTTGAGAATGACTCTAACAGAAACATCGCGCAGGCGCTTATGTTTTTTTATAAACTACCCTCTTTTTGTAGAAAAAATGTTCTACCTTCCGAATTCCGTCCCTAGTACCTGCGTTTTTTCTTATTAGGTAATGTTTCCACATAATATTATTATTATGTAAAACTTATTAGTTTTTTAAAATCGGTTTTTGTAATATGAGTAGAATTTCCAGAATGCTGTAAATATTTTCAAGTTGTCATAAATGTGCTAAAACAAGAAATATAGGTTCCATTATAATTGAATTTATATGACAGCACATAAAACTATAAGCTTATCCATACAATACTAAACGGACGGTCGTTTCCATTTTACTGCTGTGTAAACATATTACAGTTGAAAATCGATACAAGTGGCTAGTAGCTACTGGATGATATAATATTTTTATTTATTTTAAACGGGTAACTAGACAGGTTGCAATAGTCAAATCATGCGCCGTCTGTGAAGCCAACGATATCAATCTAGTTCAAAAGTTATCAGACGTCATTGTCAAATAGATAAATAACAAACATTCATGACTTTAATGCGTCTGTAGAATTATTAGCAAAGTATAAATGCACGCTATTACAAGCCGCGTTAAACTATTTTTAGCACAAACGTGTTCCTTTATTGGATTCTATTTTTGGACGCAAACTCTGTAACATTACAAGCAAAACGATGACCTGTCCGTAGTTACAACGAAATCGAAGCAGCGAACATTCCAATGCGGAACACTCATCTACCGTTAGCAAGCACATGCACAAATTTGCGCGCAAAATCCACGAAGAAAGCACGTGCGTGACCCGCCTACCAACTCAGTGCGTGTAAACAAAACAAACTTCAACATACCACTCACAAAACACACTATACATCTTAAACACCTCAATTTAAAGCTCAAAATTCAACAGTAAAACGCTTTTAGGAAGTTATTCGCACGTCGTGTCGCGGTAGAAAACTGCTGCACGCGTGTCTCGACTGCTAACGCATTGAATTCGCGAATACGCATTGAATGATTTCTGCGTATTTCCTTATTGTTCATACGCTGCGTTCATGAATGAAGTTTTGAATGTTAATCAGTTTATTTTAACGGACATTTTGTTTCGTTAACGTTGTATGGCTGGAAGTCCCAAATCGCTTAAGCTGGTCGGCAGCAGAATGTTAAAATGCAGTATTTGATGTGACGTAACGACTGATACAGTTTCGTGGTCGATATTAATTTTGGAATTGTAAGTAAACATTTGAAGCCTATAAAATTGGGAAGATAGCAAATTGTAACGTTTTGTTTTTGGTCATTTCGTTACTTTATTCTTAGATCTGCGTGAATGTTCAATAAAATTCCAGGTCATTTGTAAATTTTTAATTGCAAGTTTATTAAAAGGAATGTTCACTTATATACGAGATACAGACCATATAATTATTTGAGTAAATTGTATAGCGCCGGACATAAGTATATCTATAAAATGTCAGTTAAGTTCAACTTGTGACGATTTACGTTATTATAAGAACATTTCTCAAGGGATAATGAGTATACAGATCGTATGTTGCAAGATGTTAATCACCGCTCATTACTTCCACCAGCTGACTCCCATAGCGGCTCGATTGCATTGCAATTGTTTCTGAGAAGGGTTAGCGCGACATTCCTGGGTTGCATAATTAACACTGCACTGTAATGAGTTTTACCCGAGCTTTCAGTCAATGTTACTAGATTCCTAGCTTTAGGAAGCGTGTTACCGAGAGGTGTTATAAAACGCGGTGCAACGTGTGATGTGGTGTCATAGAATGGCGCGCGATGCAATTTCCAGTCGGCTTTCGCTTTTTTGTGCGCGGGCGTCACGCTGCGGCGGCGGCGGCGCGGGCGCACGCCACTAGTTATATAACGCGTGTTACATCACGCCGCGTCACCACAGCTAAAATAAGCGCTCTATCCACAGCCGGTCACGGCCAAGGCTGCGCGCCTTGTTGCCGACAATTATGCCGTCGGTGCCCGTAATGAGGATTTAGTGGGTGGACACGCGACCGACGCCTTGCTCACTTTTACTTTTAAACCGGTTCTCTTGACCTTCGTCTTCTCCTGCCGACTCGCGCTGTAAACCCATACTTGTCTCCAAAATGTATTAGACACTGCGACTCTCTTATTGCGTTTCATCGTACAATTGAGCATGGTAAACAATGCTGTTCGGCTTGTGTATCCATAGTCCATACCTACCGTGTCTAGCGGACGCCCTTGACTGAACGTCGACCGGGCGACCTTGTGAACGCGCAAATGTTTTCTGTTCGAATTTATAGGAATTGTTTTTGATCGTATCCAAGGTTTTATGAGTTATTACAATTGCTGGTCTTTGACAATTGACAATTTTGGTTAAGTTCTTGCTAATGATTTGCTTAAAACACATAGAAAGTTTCTCAAACTTCTGCTGCTGGGGTTTTTATATAAAGTTTCTGGTTTAGTTCACATAGCATGTTCCAGAATACATCTCGTACTACTTTTAAAACATTGCTGTTTTGCACTTTGTACATGTAAGTGGATAGATCATGCGATCAGTCTCGCGCCGTGGCGCCTCGCGGAGCGTGAAATATTCCACACATTCGAGGTAATCTCCTAACGACTGCAAATGGATTAGTGGCATATTGAAAGGAGCATTTCTCACTCACCGCCCGATAATTGTCATAATTGTAAGGTTCCATAATCTTGTTGATATCTTTTACAAACAGTGACTCGAATGTGATCGAGTCAGCTACGAAATGTCTTGTGTATGTTAGCTAAATTTTTCGCAAATTTCGATTTTGATTTGCTTGCCTACGTATTGTTTGCTCAAATAGATATGGTGTACGGTACTCATTAGATTGTGAGATCTTTGTACGAAATTATTTGTACACCGTTTTATTATGTCGATGATAACACGAGTGCACACACAAACACTGTTATAAACTTATTAGATATGTTTGGTTGAATGGCCCTAGACTATCAATGTATGGGCCTCCCACTCTAGATCGTAGGCACTTTTGTTTGAACAGGGCTTATAGAGTTGTACCTGCAAGGTATAACATAATTTTTACACATTTCAATCGGAGTGTGACTCGGTACTGGTGCCAATATTTGCTTTTGTCTAGCCACTTCTAGCCATTATTCAAAGTATGTTGTCACAAGATTTTAGAGGATTCATTAAACCTTATTAACACAATGCTAAAGAATTTATCAATGCTTTAGTTTAGTATGGTAGCAGAGGAATATTTTTTTCGTTTGCTGATTTTATTTTTGGACCATGTTTTGATTTGCGAAATATCTTTTAGATTAATGATGGCATCGAACAGAATAGGGCACTTATAATAAATAAAGATCTGATTTACTAGCAAACTGTCATTATTAATTACTTTGAAATTTATTAAACAACAACCTGACATTATTTTTTTTTTTTGTTGATTGCTTTCAAGTGACTGCCTCGTTGGCCGTGTGGTCGCAATTGCGACTGCCGAGCAAGGGGTCTCGGGTTCGATTCCCGGGTCGGGCAAAGTATTACTGAGTTTTTAAAAAATTCTCAGTAGTAGCACGAAGTCTGGAACTGTGCCCGGTATATGGCAATAGGCTCACCCCCTATTACATGGGACTCATAACATAAAATAGTGAAAAGTGGGTGTTACATTGTACAGTGGCATAATGTGCACCTCTGCCTACCCCTTTGAGGATAAAAGGCGTGATGTTATGTTATGTTATGTTATGCTTTCAAGTGTTAATTTTCTTTATTTATATTGAACTATTTTCTATCTATATACTAAAATATAATGTAATTATTCCACAGGTATGGTGTTTGTGGCTTGCTTCGTAGTGGTGCTGTCTACCTTGATGTTCTGCTTCCCTCGTGCGATCAAGCAAGATCTCATACAGATGTCTGCCAAGAAGATGCAGGAAAAGAATGAACCGATGTTCAAAGGTGAATATTTTATGAATCTTTTTTAAACTCCTTGTGTCTTTATACGAATACCTATTAAAATTTGCAGTGACTTGCATCATTATATCAAGATTTTCGGGACGAAGAATATTTCAATTATTATGTTTTCGGCTTACTCACGTAATTATTTGACGAGGAACTCGACTAGTTTCAAGCCATGCTAGAGGCTTATATTCATGAGCAGCATTTCGCGACCTGCGACGCGGCGATTGTCGCGCTGCTAGGAATTACGTGAGCAATCCGAAAACATAATAATTTATTTAGTATGTTTCACGAAAGTTATAACAGAATATTTAAGTTTGTTTATCGTTTATTATATTATGTGGTGACAATAGTTGAATGATAAAAGGTTCATGCATTTTAGTCGCTATTGGAATTATACCTTAGTTTATTTTTGGAGTTCCAAAATAATATGATTACACCAAATTATGCAATAGTTATAAATATAGAAGTGCGGTAGTATATTAGCGATGCTTTTATATTTTGAAACATGTACCTAAAGTCCTACCTGTGTTTTTGTGAGATCGATAAGGAGTTTCTTTTTTTTTTTTTTTTTTTTTTATAATTGATGGGGCGACGTTTGACCACTATCTCACCTGTTGGTAAGCGATGATGCGGTCTACGTTGGAGCACGTCGTCCCATAAGCAACCTATTCACTCGGGCCTTGAAGACTCCCAGGTTATACCCTTCAGGAAATAGTTTCCTGTTTGGTTTTTAACCTTATCCGTACTTTTTACATAAACGCTACCAATACGGAGGTAAAAAAAATACGAACAGTCATTCTGTCTCCGTGGGTGGCCTATATTTTAACATGTAGTAGTAATCCGGTTGATTAAACAAGCATGATGTTGATAAATGCCGCCCTATTAACCAGATTCTTATAAAATTTTAACAAATTGCTGTGTTCTCGTGTAGTTCGGCAATGATTAATTACTTACCCTTAGGTACAGATGGCAGCAGCGCCACCTTCTCCTTCATGTCCGATTTCTTTTCTAGATTTTCAACTTTATCATTTTGATATAGAGTTGAAGATTGTTGTTGTATATTGGAGGAGGTTGTCTTGTTGTCTATGTTTACCTTCCAGTCTATGTGGCCAGTGTTTTGAGAAATCTAATGTATTTTAAATATAGAATTAATGGTCGATATAAATTAGTTTTTAAGAATTTTGTGGTGCCGTGATTAGTTGGATTTCCATAAGGGTTAAATGCTAATGACAGTATTTTCCACTGTGGGTATAAGATAATAAATTCATCTACAATTGACTGATGTTGTCATGGATGTTCGTCCCCATTATATCAAAACGTCACTCATGTTCAACTTATCATAGAGTTATCGGCCATTTTGAAATAAAATTTTGGTTATCTATGGTAGACTTTGCTCTTTGAAATTCGACAACCATGGTTCCGCTTTGCCTATTTCAATTGTTGCATTATTTGAATGAATAGCAAAGATTGAATATGAAAAAAAATCTACAGCAACCCGGTTCCCAAGTTCTAGATTTTTAAATTTGTTGGATGGTTTCCAAAATGATAAATAACACACAGATAACATAAAAAGTTGGCGGGAATCCGCGTTAACGTTATCAACTTGACAAATAATGTCCCGTTGCTATTTCTTTTTGTCTCTTCCGTAAATAAAACTAGAGTTTAGTACATAATATGTTTTGTTTGTACACAAATGAATGTTGTGTCTGCGTCGGAAACTATTCCGAAATGCTTTAAGAAAATGATCTAGTTTTTATTTAAAATGTTTGGGTTGCCTGTTTTAAAACTGTCGTTAGCTTGATATCGGTAGTTACAGCTCTTGGATAGCTTATTTAGAAGACAATTACAGAAAAGAAAATGTCGAAAATTAATTTCTTCTCCTAAGTTTTGTCTTTTAAACTTTTGCCATAACCACATACATAGTATGGTTCTAGATGAAAACTAGATTTATGTTATATCTCCTTTATTATCTTGTATAATATCTCCTTTGTTATCTTATACTTGCTATATTAAGCGGAAGAGTTTGTTTTTTTGTTTGTTTGTTTGAACGCGCTAATCTCCGTGACTACAAGTCTGATTTGAATAATTCTTTTTGTGTTGGATAGTGCATTTATCAAGGATGGCCATAGGCTATAAAACATCACGCTACGACCAATAGGAGCTGAGCAGAGCGTGTGAAACCGCGCGGAAGTAGCTAGTCCTATATAAGCTTTGGAAAATTTTCAACTATCTATTGAAGCTTTCAATACAAATACGTTACCCAGATCAAAATAACAAACACAAATAAATGACAATACATTCTTAACTTTCCAGATTTCATCGAAACGATCAAACGGCAGCTTACAAACGACATTCTGATGTGGCGGACAGCTAGTTCGGTTCTCCACTTGATGCCAATCAGTGGCGTGTACAGCTTCTTACCCAAGTACTTGGAGAAGCAGTTCCAGCTCCCCACACATGAAGCCAACCTTGTTTCGGGTGAGGTACTTACATGAACACTCTTTCGGTAATCGTGGTCGATCACACTGTCACCACGAACGCTTGGTCTCTGGGTGAACTTATCATGGATGGAAACAGCGTTTTCTATAATTTATACTTTATTCTTGGAGAATTAAGATTTGTTTCTGAATGGTCTTTTGTTGCTTGAATAGCACAAATCGTAAGTACCTTTGGAGTCAATATGATTTATCATTTAAAAAACCATGAGTGATTCAGAGTGCTGATTTATTCATAAATGCAGGGATTTTACATAGATTAAATTCTATATAAAAGCTGATTTAACAAAATCAGACTTTTTAATACGTGACTTTTTCTTTTCATTATTATTTCTTTTGAACCATTGTAGTGACCCGTATACGGGACTATGAACCGGAAAAAATATCATAGAAAAAAGGGATTCCGTATTTGTCCTACGAACTATTTATTATACTGGTCCTATTCATGCTTTTAAGGGGTAGTTTACACCCTATTGAAGAATGATATTTGTAATATTATTCTGTTAATTCTTTCTTTATTATTGTCCTGATCGGTAGATTAAGGGATCCTTAACAATATAGAAAAAATGACTTTGATACGACCATGTGAAATTTTGGGCCCGTTTTCAATAGTTGAAGATCTAAAAGATTGTGTTTAGATTCATATCGTATTCTTTGAATTTCAATGGTAGAGTTTAAAAACCAAGTTCTATGAATCTGGCCACCAAGTTGAGCAAAATTTACAATAAAAGGTCTTTAAGTTTTTCTAATGAAATGTAGGGTAAATCACCAGGCACCCTTACTTAGACGGCGAAATACAACGCAGTCGTTGTTTCACGCCGGCTTCCTGTGAGGCCGTACTATCACTCCCACACTTAAGAAGAAGTATTGTATTATTTATGTATTATTTACGCAAAATTTCATTATGTACTGATTATTCTTTATTATTTATTAATAACTAGCTTTTGCCTGTGACTTCGTACGCGCAATCCCGTTTTCTCACGTTCCCGTAGGATTTTCAGGATATTTTTCTGTCGTAAAAACCTTTTTCTGAAAATAACAACAACAGCAAAAAAAAAATCAGCCAAATCGGTCTAGCCGTTCTCAAGTTATGACGTGACAACTGGAAACGGGTTTCATTTTTATACAAGGTGTAGTTTTGAAACCGTGTCATTTCTCGGGGGCATGTCACAGAAGTCATAAAGGTTCAATGTAAGAGAAAATTTCGGGCCAATACTTAAAAATACGGCTATAATAAATCAAGTTCCACAGTATTTCAGAATGAGCGACAGCAATGTTTCTTATTGGAGTTTTTAGAGGAATTAGAAATAATATCAATTACGTGTTTGCGTTTGTGTGTGCCGCGTTATAACACTAGTTACAAGACGGCGGCGTGTACTTCGCACTTACGGATTTTCGTAATTTCAGAAAAATTAAAAATATTTACCTACAATTTTTTTATTGATTCGGACTCAGAATCGGTAGGCGAGTTACCTCCTAAAAATGACGCGGCTTTAAAACAACATCTTGTATATATGGATATCGCCAATTTCACCGTTTTATGGTGCCTGTGATGTTTGTGAACAGTTGAACATGTTTATTGTTTAATATTCCAGGTATGGGTGGTATTATGGTGATGGGTCTGGGCACCATTTCGGCAGGATTCGTCATACTGAAACTGGTGCCTTCAGCTCGGCAGGTGGCGGCCTGGACAGCTATGAGTGCTGCTATTTATAGTGCTGGTAAGAACATGTTGCTATTTTAGAATATTTTAGTTTTTTTATGGAATATGAGGTAAAAGAGCAGACATCACTTGATGGTAAGCGATCAGCGTCCACACCTGGAATACCAGAGGAGGAGTTACAAATACGTTGACGGCCTTTTTGTTACCGCAGAGGCGGGTTAATAGAGCCATCAGACCACCGCAGATGGGGCCCAATAGGGCTGATGCCGATACGGAACCGATGCGGAGAGGACTTAACGGGTTGCCGGGGCTTCGGCTCGAAGTGCAGGAGTAGGATCAGGGTGGTTTTTAGGCAGTAAGAGTCTAAAACCCACTCTCGCCTCAACCGGTTGAGAGAAGTTATTGGTTGATTTTCGCCACTCAAAAAAAGGAGGCGGGTTAATAGAGAGTACCCTAGGTAAACACCTCAAAGGCGTCCCTAATTTTTGGCGCCACCATCACTCTATCAGCAGTTAGGCACGCACGTCTCGCGGCGCTCCTCTGTCACCTGGCGCCCTAGGCAAGTCCCTAGTTTGCCTTAGGGATAACACGGCTCTGTGTTACCGGCAGGTTGTTATCATCGTGAAGCAAAACAGTTTTTCTTAGAATGTACTGCATTGTTTGCGCAGTGTAACGGGGTTTAGAATTGTGCCAATAGTATGGCAATTTGGCTCAGCCTACACGAGACTCATGACTTAACCGATGAAAAGACTTAATGAATATTATTAGAAAAAGTCTTCATTTACACTTTCAAAACGTCGTCACTTTTTGAGTTTCTAGAATGGCACCTTCACAGACCCAAGACGTGTTGTAATGATACTGTAAAATTAATAGTTTACGTTTAATTTCCAGGTATGATATTGCTGATGTTCGTGAGCTGTCCGGAGGAGAACTACAGGATGATCAGTGAAGGAGGCAGCATCCCTAACAGCAGTGTGGAGTGCAGCGCGGGCTGTTACTGCGCTGATGTGGCCTTCAGTCCTGTTTGTGGACAGGTCAGTTACGTCCAAATTACTTTTAACCTTATCTTTATTAGTTAAGATTGTTTTTGCATTGTGGTTATCCACATAAACTTATAAGTCAATGGATAACTGATTTTAAATGAAACTCGTACTTAAAACACGAGGGGAATTGCCTACTTACATATCGATACTACGTGTACTTCTTTAACGTTCTTGTTTAGTATATATTTACATTATCACATTTGTTTTTATAATAACTATCGTGAGACATACTAAATTAACTAAAAATCCCGGGTTACTTACGTGAATATACTGAGAAAAGCTCTACTAGTTTCGAAACATAGACGGGTCGCGCCGCGGGAGTTTGAAGCAAACGCTCGTGGTGTCCGGTAGAGGGCGCGTTGGGCTAGATGCGCTAGTAGCAACACCGAGGCGAGCGCCAACGCTGGCAATATAAACTATATTGTATATGAATTATAATATTTCCCTGCTTACTCACGACATGACTCGCCTATTTTCAAATTACGCTAGGGGTTCATATTCATTACGTATATCTGTTTTTCTAAATACGTATGTTGTTGGTTTCAGGATTCGTACACGTATCTGTCTCCGTGCCAGGCGGGCTGCCTGGGCAGTCACCAGCTCGACAACAACACGTGGATGTACACCAACTGTTCATGCATCGATGGCACCGCGCGCGGAAAGAAGGCAATGGAGACGTGAGTATATATATAACTAGCTTTTACCCGCGGCTTAGCTCGCGTCACAAAAGAATAAAAAGTAGCCTATGTGACATATACCAATACACACAGCGCCATCTATACCAATACTTTTGTTTTTCCTCGGGAATATCAATTTTTTCCGGGTACAAAAGTACCCTATTATTTAATCCGGACTTCTAACTTTACGTCTGCAAAAATTCAAAGCAATCGGTTGAGTAGTTACGGCGTGAAGGTGGAACAAACAAACAAACAAACAAACTCACTTTCAGATTTATAATATTAGTAAGGATAGTAAGGATATGTATAGCAATATATGAATTTACAAGCTTCGGACAGCGGCTTTGCCCGCGTTACCGTAAGCTAAAAAGCCTGTGTTATATTAATCTACCCCTGTTCTAAGTTTCCGTGCCGTTATCCCAATTCCTTCTGCTGTTTTTACGTGGTTGACTAACAAACATACACACACACACACAAACTGTGGCATCTATAATATAAGTAAGATTTTTGTTATACTAGGAATTGAGAACGTTTTATCAATATCTCGATATTCACGTACCACAGAGTTGTGAGAAAAGTCAACAAATCGCCGAAACATCACTCCACTTGGCCAAAAATCATCCCTCAGAAATACGTTGAGCTTATTTTTAGGTACAAATATTTTATAAGCATTGTAGTCCTTCGCAATTTTCATATTCATTTTTTGAAGGTCAATGTCTATGTTTACTTTACTTGTAACGTATTTCTTAATGCCACTCGTAGATGTCTCCTTTGATACATTGTAGATATATATCGGAACCTTGACGTCAGCGGCCCTGAAGTTCGAAGTTCTATCTACGTTACCCTTTCCAACTTTACCCTGGAAACGGTTTCTCAACCTCTTTTTTTGAACCAGTATAAAGCCGTCGTCCAAAGGTTGTGACCTAAACTCGCCTTCCGAGTCACTTAAGATTTCGGAAAAACTTTTTTGTGAGGAATCCTTTGTAGTTGAGGCAGCGGTGGCGGCGGGGGGCGCGCGTTCCGATGACGTGTTGGTGTTAGCTGTTTTGAGCGCTCCGTCGGAATGTAGACCGTTAGGCTCCCGGCACGGAGTAGTTTTCAATGTACCCTCATCAGAAAAAGTTATGCGTTTTTTTGCAGGAGAGACTGTTGGACTTTTTCTGCGAGCTACTGGTGCATTACACAGAGGGGACAAACCCATGGGTCCGCTTTCACACTCAAAACTAGATAGCATGAGGCAGCACCCCTTTTGGTATTGACATTTCGTTGGAAATTATTTACTATGGACGCGTTTTTTAGAGATTCTACCTCCACCCGCAGGTTCCTCATCTGTTCCAATGTAGCATATTCTTCGCAAATACGGTCTAAGTCACTTCTCATTTTTACAATATCCTTCAGTATCCTAGTTACATCTACGTGGTCAAAAAGTACTGGAGGTAACTTTTGCAGGTCCCGTGCCACAAAAATAGGAATATCCTCAGGGTCAGTCTCTTTCAATAGGCATACTATATCGTCAATATTACGTATTGTTTTGCCTTGTTTTTTCCGTATCTTCTTTTGCTTTGTTGTCGTAACGGAATCGAACAACAAGTTTTTGGCTTTCAGAATATCATTTTCCGAGAAAGCACTAACACAGATTCGGCTTATACTTTCTTCATCCATCACATCTATCTTATTACAGATAAAAGCAAGTATTTCGTTGATCACCACATTACAACTAGCACATTTCACAACATCCGAGGACATTGTTTTACTCGATTGACTTTCCATCGCGGCAATGACGTGCGTACGCGCCGAACGCAATGACTGAACTCAAACTCAACATTTTATGAATTTGCGCTTTTAATTCATCTTTTAGGCATAATGTCGCAAGTTCGCAACAAGTAATTTCATCTATCTATATATATAAAAGAAAGTCGTGTTAGTTACACTATTTATAACTCAAGAATAGCTAAATCGATTTGGATGAAAATTGGTGGGGAGGTAGTTTAGAACCAGGAGACGGACATAGTATACTTTTTGACCAACATTTTTTTTTTACTTTTTACCGAAAATCACGAACAGGGACGGGAAAAAATGGGATTACGCGTACGAAGTCGCGAGCAGAAGCTAGTATCTAATAAAACATGTAATAATCTCGTAGTAAGTCAAAATTGTACATTGAATATTTTTTTTAAAGAATATTTGGGGCGTGGTCTACAATTCATATCGAAGCCAAAAATATGATTTTTGAAATTTTTGTCTGTTTGTCTGCTTGTCTGTATGTATGTCCGGGATGATCTCAAAAAGTACTGCATGGATTTACTTCAAATTTTGCATGAATATTACTAACAGGTCGGGTCAATTTATAGGCTACATATTATCACGCTATCATTTACGGGGAGGAGCCCTATACTAGGTACTTAATATCCCTTGATAAAGACTAATTCAAAAGCATAAATTCTGCCAGAAGTCATTATTCTACGCGGACGATGTCGCCGGCAACAGCTAGTAGTCAATAATATTTCACCGATTTATCTCTTGTGATGTGTATATTTTACAAAGAGAACTGACCTAACATTATGGTGTTTTATTGTTACAGAATCGAACGTTACAATCTATACAATTCATCAGAGGAGTATTTGTCGAATCCCCTGGGTTTTGCCGTGAGTGGAGAATGTGGTGGCTCGTGTTCTCAAGTGTACGTGTTCGTTGCCATATTCGCGACGCTCATGTTCATACACGCCAGCGGGGAGGTCGGCGGCGTACTACTTATCATACGCTGCACTGACAGACAAGGTAATTTAATTATTTGTGCATATTCTGACGTGTTTCCATATTCTTTTTATAAATATTTTCTCGTCACTAGCCCTAAACCGTTACTCGTACTGTTAGGTCGTGCTTACATGTTGGTTTCAGAAATTCCTTTCTATTTAGTATTTAGGACAAAATGTGTCTTGTCTTTATGTCGTGGTGGCCCGGAGGTTTAAGACGCTGGCTTCTCATGCATGAGAATGCGGGTTCGAAACCTACCAACGGCAAGTACCAATGTGACTTTTTCCGAGTTATATGTACTTTCTAAGATTATTTAGACACCACTGACAAACGGTGAAGGAAAACATCGTGAGGAAACCTGGGCTTATAATTTCTAATTATAAGTTTGTAATCGTCAACCCGCATTGAGCAAGCGTGGTGATTAATGCTCAAACCTTCTCCGTGTGTGAAGAGGCTTTGCTCAGCAGTGGGCATTTATAGGCTGATGATGACATTTAGGACAAGATGGTGAAAACGCAAGTAGTACCGCAAGTAAAATGTCTTTTTCTGTCTTCAGTGTACAGATGTTAGTAATTTGGGCTTTGTCAAACTGTCACAGTTTTAGTGTATAGTCGAGTTTATTATACAACAATATGGTGGACAATCTATTAAATAAAACATATTGTCTAATATTACACAGCAAGTAGGTATTTCCATACTGGATTTTTTAAATAATATTGCAATTCTTATTTTTACAGACAAAGCGATGGCGATGGGAGTGATTCAGTTTGCAATAGGAGCGTTTGGCAACGTGCCGTGTCCGATAGTGTTCGGCGCGGCCGTGGACGCGGCCTGCCGCGCGCGGGACGCCGTCTGCGGGATACTCGGCGCATGCGCCTCCTATGATAACGATAGCTTCCGATACTTCTATCTAGGTGCGTACTTTCTATCTTATTATAATTTTTATGGCATAGGCTTGGCAAATGAACAGATGGAACATCTGATAATAAGCAATCTGTATCGTCCATGGACACTCGTAACACCAGAGGAATTACAAGTGGTTCACCTTCTATAAATTGAAAATTTGGGGATTGTTGATTTTGGGGATTTTAATGTTCTTGTCTTTCATTTCAGGTTTGTCGTCATTCCTAATGTTCCTAGCATGCATAATGGACATTTTGGTATGGAGTAAGGCGGGTCGCATTGACATGAACCCGGAGGAGCACCCCGAACCTGAAGGATCCGTGGCACTCACAAACCCATCGGACACACAACTCTGACCTCAAACTAACTACGAGTCACACCTGTAAGTGACCACACGACCTTAAGTCAAGGCAATACGGTTCTTATTTCAACCGTAAAAAACTTCAACTTAGGCGTGGGACAATTAACCTTACTTGTAAGTGTTACGGTCTAAATTGCAACGACACTGATCTGAATAAATCTTAGTCGCGGACAGTTATTAACTCTACATGTAGTTTACCCAGTGGTAAGATCGATAAATGCAACGACGCTGATCCAGTTTCAGCTATCGGACAATTGTGAATCTTATACTTGACTATTAGAGTCGAAATTTGTATGCAAGAGGATCTGAGAGTTGTGTAGTTTTAGTAAAATTTAATATCGTCTAAAGTTAAGGGGATGGCAGTAATGTGAAGGATTGTGGGTCCAGTAGTGGACCCCAGCGACGTAAGTTACTGATGCGTTAGTTGTCCGAGTGTCGGCTAGACCGCCATTGAGAGCCATATTACAACACAGAACAATGCATGCGTTATATTGTATTTGGACAAAACCTAGGTACTATTTGTATATACTAATTAACATACGCCAATATTTTGGTTATTTATTAGATTCTTGCTAACATTACCTTTTTAGTAAAATGCCAGTGTTATTGTTTGAACTTTACGGTTTCCATGGCAACACTTCTACCTGACTGAACAATGAAATACTTGTATCGTGCATTTTATAATAAATCTGTGCATTTTATACACTAGTTACTTTACCGCATAAGTATGTGCTCAATTTTGTAAACATAATAAAAAAAAGTAATAAAACTACAAATGGGTTCAGGCATAATATATAAAGTTACATATTACTATGATAATAATTATTTGGGAGCAAGTGTTTATACGAAATTACAGCTAAAACGATTAGAGCCGATATTTGGCGAACATAGCATTAAATATTAGGTAAATAAAATAAATATATATACTGTTTAAAGGAAGGTTTTGGCCCACTAACGCACGGGTCTTTTTACTTAGCTAATATACTGTGTTAGTGGGCTTAGACTGTCTCTTCATATATTTTATCAGTCCCATAGAACAATAGGAAGCAATCAGCTCAACACATCACTTTAATACATCACTCAGTAACAATATCTATAAATGGGACTGAATACAAGTTTTGATAACACATATTGTCATAATAATGATTCTATACTAGTATAAATTACAATACTGGGATTGTGTGGCGCAAATATGGTAAAACTTTGCGCAAATCATAGACAGAAGGCCTAGTATGAATTACTTACTTTTATTGACATCAAAACGTTACCACGTCAAGCTCCCTGATTGGTTGGTTCATTGGAATTGGCCAATCAAAGTGCCGAACGTCATAAATGTAAAAAAAACTCGTGCTAAGCTCTCTATAGTTTGCGCGACCACTAAAAAATTTGCGCAAAATCACATTTTAGCGTTGAGTGTTAAAGTTCATATTGCTATAACGGCAGTTTAGGCGTTTATTAACTTACGTGATATTAATTGAATGTATTGTACCTTTTTCGTAATTTAATCCAAAGATCACATACTTAATATTTGCATGTCAATGGATGAGATTAGTTTTCATTTTAGTGAGGGAAGTTTTATTATGACAATGTGTGTTTACAACGCATAATATAATTATTTCGATAATTACGATTTACATGGCTAGTGATTAGACGTTTATTTTTAGTGTTAGTGAAAGATGTTTTGTAACAAATTAATACTAAAATCCCTGTAAATAATATTAAATGAATTAAACAATATAATCACAATTAAAATAGTATAATTATAAGAGTAAATAAATGTTTAGGATAATTTTCTGTTGTCTTTTCACTCTTCGTAATATAATAATCTTTTTTATTATTATTATTATACAATTATACATCTGCACTGTGGTCTGTCTGTTATGTATACACTTTTATAATCGTCTAAATATATAATTATTATTATTATATATACAGTTTTTGGGCATTGTTTATCAATATATATTTAGTCACAAATGGTGTGGTGGTAAAAGTACGTTTGTGTAGAACCTTTTTGGTCGAATAGGTAAAATTTGGTAATAAGAATGTATTGTATAAGGTTTGTAGACCTAGGAAATGTGAAGATCTAAATTAAACTGATGTTTAATGAACATTATCGTGTTTTGACGAAATACCGTAGCCGTCATTGGAGCTATCTATATGCTATATGTAATTGATAAAGTAATAAAAGGCTGGGCGTTTGTGTAAAACTGATCACTAGGATAGATTAGGTTAGCAATTCATTTTTTTTTTTTATAATGGTCATTCTGAAAACATACATTCTAATGTTTTGTCTTTGTGTAATAATTATTGCTTTTACATTTACGTCCTTTTGTTCCATGCTGTATTTCGACTGCATCGTTATCCAATATTGAACTATTATGTCTTAATGATAGAGTTCAGTTTTCCTAAGTGGATTGTGCAATTTTTTTTTATATTGTACAAATGGTGTTACTTTTTTGAGTGACTTTTTTATATACTATAATTGTTTATTATATTATATATAGTAGTCATAAATAAAAAGGCTTAGTGAAATATAGTGTGTTATTACATTGGGACTGATACAAAACTACTGAATTTTCGACTGATATTGAAAATTAATAAATATACAAGTACAAGGAACTGTGGTACTAATTGTGAATGAAATGTAACGGCATAATAAATTGTATTTACTTACAACGAAATGTTGTTAGTTTTTAATTTGAAGGACATGCGAAAACATTTTTGGAATTACATTATGTTTCACTGTTGTATTAAAATTTTATAATAAAATAAATCGTATCGGTAATTAATTAATGTTTTGCATGAAAAATATCTTTAATTTAATGAATCTAACACTTAATTGATAAAACGAATTTATTCAACAAATATTGTTCCTTAAATGTGTGCATTATTTAAACAAGTGCAATTTTCGTTGCTATATATATATTATACGCACTGAGGATTGCTATATATAATTATATATTATATTATATATAGTAATTATGTCCGTCATCTACTTACGTTTATTGACTAAGAACAAATTAAAGTTAATATTTAAGTTGGCTTTAATAGTAAAATATTATTCTGTTATCGTAATATACCTGTGTGAAATGTGTGTTGTAGAATGCATTAAATTAGAGGAAATATATACCTAATGTTGTAACTTTAAAATTAAATAATGAATTGAATAATTGTAGAGAATAACATCTTTGGAGATTGAATAAGAAAATATTATATTGATAAATATAACCTAAAAATAATGGAAAATTTAGAAAAAATCGAATATTAGTAGAGAATTGTATTGCATGTTTGTGTTACTGTTACGTCGTGTTTTCCTATCTTATATTTAGTTAAAAAAATAAAGAATCACACATTCATTTTTATAGTTATTTAAAAATATCTTCGGTAAACTCTGTTGCTAATCACTTTTCAACCTTAAGCCTTTGACAATAAGATTGAAAAGTTTTTAACACGAGAAGCCAAACTTAAAATATCTGTGTATGTCTATAAAACTGTCCTACTTACAATTTACTTCTCAGTGGTAGCTCTTAGCTGAATTTTTGTTGTTTGTTGCTGTAATATTAAAAAAACTACATTGTAAGAATAAAAAAGTGTAACGGCTCTTCATAATAGCGAACACAATTTTACTAGTCTACGTTTAGTGTTAGAGAATAATACCTCTGGAATTTAGATATAAAAAGAACCTGTAACCGTCTATTACTTTAAATAATTTCTACTTATAACTAAAACTATTTGTGAAGCGAAATTATGATAAAAATACAAACTTATTTTTAGTAACTCCTTTCTTATTGAACCTTTTTTTATAATCTGTCTATTTCTGAATTTAAATTTGAGATTCTATAATTGAAATTTAAAAAAAAAGTTGCAACAAAACGCACCTTAATTTGAAAAGCAATTTTTTCTGTACGTTTGTGTACGAACGACATTAGCTAAAACTACATACTTCAGTGTGTGTGTGTCAAAAGTTTCAAAGAGTTTTCGTGTTTAATGCAGTACAAATAAAGTCCAAAATGTAATAAGTATATTTGACAGATTGTAGTAGGTTCATGTGCATCTGTGTATGTTGTGTGAAGATTTTTTCTAATAATTTTCTGAAATGTATTGGTTTTAACAAATCCGTGTGCGGTACGCCTCCAGTACATACGTTTACAAGTTAAATCGATAAGTACAGTGTAGATTTGTTATTGTGACGTCGGATCACATATTTTTAATTATTTGTAAATAAAAATTATTAAGATGTATTATCTGTTGTTATTTCTTTTATTTACCTACACAGTAATGACAGTGTCTGTGCCTGATTACCCAGTATTGATTTTTTATACGAGAAGCGAGTTGGTTATCTTTCTCTTTCAGTGGTTATAAGCAAATCATATCATATGACAATACACTATTGAACTATGCCTTTTCTACATTAGTGAGTTTATCACAACCTCCACGCTTTGTAGACGGATTTAAGAACACAATTTAAAAGCTTCTAGCTCATCAGAGAGAGCTGTTCGTTGCCTGGGCTCGATCGAAAACCAAATCCCCAATCCTCAAATGTCTCACTCCCCAGCCTATAACTCACTTGTACTTCTCGGGTTTTGTGGTTATCGTGGCTTTTTTGTTGTCGTGGTAAGCAATCGGCATCGCCTATGGACACTAGACGGCGTTACAAGTGCGTTATCGGCCTTTTGGGATTAGGAATCTGAGGATTCAGGGGTTGAGGAGACTGGGGAGGGGAGGTAGTTGGGCCCCAGGTAACCTCACTGACATGACGAAACACAACACAAGCGTTGTTTCACGTCGGTTTTCTGTGAGGCTGTGGTATCACTCCGGTCGACCCGACCCATTCGTGCCGAAGCATGGCTCTCCCACACTTAAAGTTGACCTATTAGCTGTTGTATAAAGTACTTTTTAAATAATATAAAGAGGGTCAAAGAAGACTGGACACATAAAAAATTACATAGAGATAGATGTAAAAAACTAAAATCATTAGATCCTTACCTACAATATCTTGATTAATCGATTACCAGATTGCACGGGATTTTACCTTAAAATCACGGTTGTTATTGTTAGAAGCGTCTCATAGGTAAATGTTTATTTAGGTATCAGACAGGGACCTTCACTGACCCCGTTACTAAAAATCCAATTTTTGCTTAATAGGTAACCATTTAGTACCTAGGTGTAAATTCAGTAGGTTTTATTGCTAATCCTTTTTAAGGTAACACCATTCATCATCATCATCATCAACAGCCTATGGGTACCCACTGTTGAGCAAGACCTCTTCTCACACGGTGAAGGTTTGAGCATTAATCACCATGCTGGCTCACTGCGGGTTGGCGATTTCAAACTTATAGTTAAAAATTGAACTGGATATTTATTAGAAATTATAAGGCCAGGTTTCCTCACGATGTTTTCTGTCTAAAAAATTTTATTAAGGATATATAACTTGGAAAAAATCACATTTGTATTTGCCGTTGGTAGGTTTCGAACCCGCACCCCCATTCATGAGAAGCGAGCGTATAAAAGTCAATCGGACAACATTTTAAATATTAATACATTAAAAAAAAAATGTAAATGAAATGTTGCATAGAAATTATAGTTTAGTAGATTTTTGATCTCGAGAACACCAATTAAGAAACTAATTAAAACAGTAACCTTAAAAAAAACCGCAAATTACATTATGAGTAATAAATAAAATCAAAATAAAAATCATTAGTCAGACAGGTTTTAGAAAATTACACGTTTATATTAAAAATTCTATCTAAGATATGTAGCTATACAAAAAGCGGAATAAATTTGCTTTAAGCTCGGTGTATCATGATCGCAACTTGACGTTAGGCAATCTCCACATGATCCTGTACTTGGACTTAGTAGAAAACAGATAGGCAAGTAGAACAATGATATTATCACAAAAGAGTGTTTTACTTAAACTGAAAATGAGAAGTCTTTACGTAGCATCTACTATTACACTTCGTATCGTAGTAACTACGTCTTTATGTAGCACCTAGACCACCTCTACGAAGCGTAGCAGCTACAACGTCTATACGTAGCACGTACGCCACCGCTACGTAGTGTAGCCGCTACATTATCTTTACGTGACACCTACGCTTCTTATGTAGCGTAGCAGCTACGATATCTTTACGTAGCTTCTGCACCACATCTACGTAGCGTAGCAGAAACAACGTCTTTTCATAGCACCTACACCACCTCTATGTAGCGTAGCGACTACAATGTGTTTACGTAACACCTACGCCATCTCTACAGCAACTACAATGTCTTAACCGCCACACATTCAAGTCTGGTTCGGGAGGGCTTCCCACCCTCTCGCTCTGCACCTTAGCCTAAACCAATGCCGGGTGCAAGTAGTAGTACTATTCTGAAGACACGGTGATGCTCAGCCCAAGCAGGGATCACCAATCAGCCTGCCCAGCATAGGGACGTCCTGTTACAGACTGTTAATTTGGTATTTAACAAATCGTTAGTAAGTTGTGAAAATCCAACATTAAACTTTAAAATGAGATCATGTGTAGCCATCTTTATTCACACGTGATCTGAAGATGCATCTACGTCAAGTGCAATGTCGAATTGATTAGCGTGTAGCGTGGCTCACCTCCGCGTAATATATTGTTTTAGACAATAGATTAGGGGATTTTTCGCAATGATTACGTAATATTTTATTCTTGTTTAAGCTTGAATTTATCAGAATTTGTTATAATTAGGTAAATAAATGAATATCAAGACTTATGTAGGTACACATTCTTGAATGTTCTTTTTCGTCCTATGGTTTTTGTTTACATAAAGATAAATATCACACAAAAAATTTTAAGCTAGGTACTAAGGTACGGTTTATGAGTCGCAAAGTGTAGGACACAGCAGTTATTTCTACTATACTAGATATACTTCTTCTATTATATATAGCAGATTCAACTGCTTGGCAAATTTTATGCAGTTATGTATGCTTCAAAACGAAGCCGCAGAGAAAGATCAAAGAAGGATTGATGACAGCCATAGGGAGAGTCATACTTCGGCTTGAATAGACTCAAATGGTTTCACGTAGGCTTGTGTAGTTCGCAAACGAACTAGTTCAAAAGAGCGCTCCCACATTCAAAATATGCGAACTAGTTCACGTCATTCCCAACTCCTTAGTTCCTTAGTTCGTATTTCGAAGTACAAGGTACAAGGATTGTGAAGTCGTTTATATGTATAGTCTATGGTGAAGACCGAACTAAAAAATGCTAAAGATTCATTCCAACTCCAAATCCAACTGGGAGTCGGGAGCTGACGAACTAGGGAGCGATTTGGCTGCCAGTGCCTTCCTAGTTCCTATGCGATTCATTCCAATTCCAAATCCAACTGGGAGTCGGGAGCTGACGAACTAAAAGAGCGAACTAGTTCTTTTAGGAGCGGCGAACTGATCTGAGTGATCTTAGTCGCGAACTATTTAGCACAAGACTAGTTTCACGACCTCACAGAAAATCGAACCGAACGAGTGTGGGATACCAGGTACCTACCTAATCCTCCCCAATTCGTAATCCTTAAATCCTAAACATAGGGATTTCTTGTTAAGGGGGGAAAATCATCGAACCGCCTGGGTGAGGCGGGAGGGAGTGTCATACTCTTACTGACTAAAAACCACCCCGTTCCTTCTCCTGCACGTCGAGCCGGAGCCCCGGTAACCCGTTAGGTTCTCCGCGACAACATTGCCGCTTAGTGGACAGTTTTCATTGTTTCTACGAGCCGACTTTTATACGAAACATAGGGATAGACAATTTCCACGACACGAGTTATTTTGAAAAATCGAAGCACGTAAATAAATTAAATAGTTTAAATTGTTCAAAAACATTTCGAAACTGGTCAACACATCTCGTGACCAGAGGGCTGGTCTTTTTCTCGGTCATAGGTAAGCATTGCCATACAACGTGGCAATGCTGCCAGCCTTCTGGGTACTTTCCCCACTGACGTCGATGCGGACGAATTTTTCGATGCTTTATGTAAATAGTTGTTTTTGTTTTTCTTATAATTAATTTTCTCTAATTTTAAGTTGTATATATTTAATTTAGTAATATTTAGTTTTAATTATATTTAACTAATAGTTAGTTTTAATTTAAGTTTTTTATTTGAATAAATGCTGATTCGAAGCATGTAGGTACAATCTGAATTTTGGATCTGGAATTATAGTGACTTTGAAATCTCATCTTCTATTTCGTTCAAAGAACTCAACAACAGGAAAACACAACATTTTACTATTTTTATTCGTGCGTAAAGTTGGGCATTGTCACCTACCTGTAACAAAAACTGTATGACTAGAAATTTTACCGATTTCGCACAAACAAGGATGATTCGTTGATTTTGGACAATAGCTGGGCCCTCGTATATAAATTGATGTACGGCTGACCATCCGTATAGTTACTTCTGAGACAAACAACAGCTTCAACATGGTCAGAATAGCGCTTGTAATGTTGGCTGTGTTCGTGATCTCCTGTTTGGCCGCTCCAGGTAATTTCTATGGGTTATATAAATAGTATTTTAAGTCCTGTTAATTGCCAATTCAACCCCTTTTTTGTGTTCCAAGTGTGATGTAATAGATAAGTATGCTACGTAAATAGTTTTCCTGTTCGAAAATTCAGTCAATCGTTTACATGATATAAGTGTCGGTAACTGCCTGATTTCGTAGGCGAAATTCACTGGCAGATGGAAGACCCTACTTGGTGTATTCCTCTATTCAATGTTATTTCAGAAGTTTTACACATCACAAATAAATTAACGAATTCTTTTTATGGTTACAAAGGAGAACGAGTAAGAAGACATGGCTATGACTTCACCCATGGGGGCTACGGCGGTGGCTACGGTGGGGGTTACGGCCACAATGGACACGGTGGCCACGGCTTCGGAGGTCACATCCCCATCTCACAGTCCTTCTCCAAGTCCTCAGCCAGTGCCAGTTCCAGTTCTGGAGGTGGGACGATTGTGGGCTGATGTATTTTGAGTAAGGTATGTTCGATAACAACAACAACATAACAACATAACATCACGCCTTTTATCCCCGAAGGGGTAGGCAGAGGTACACATTATGCCACTGTACAATGTAACACCCACTTTTCACTATTTATGTTATGAGTCCCATGTAATAGGGGGTGAGCCTATTGCCATATACCGGACACAATTCCAGACTCCGTGCTACTACTGAGAATTTTTAAAAACCCAGTAATACTATGCCCGACCCGGGAATCGAACCCGAGACCCCTTGCCCGGCAGTCGCACTTGCGACCACTCGGTCAACGAGGCAGGCAGTGTTCGATAACATATTCGATAATATACATAAGTCACCTCCAACCGACCGATATAGAAGTCATAGGCCTATGTTCAACTGTGGACGACTTTGGCAGTTATGGTTTCCTAAGATGATGATAATGACGATTTGTTAATATAGTTCATAAATAAACCTCTGTTGCTAGAAAACTTTCTATCTTATTTTGAATGTATCTGTAGGTACTATCTTCACTACATATTGTAAAACAAAGTAGCTATCCGCCGTCTGTCCGTCCCTATGTATGCTTAGATCTTTAAAACTTGATTCTTAAGGAAGGTTTATATGTATAGTACATACATGTGTATTGAACCCGTGCGAAGCCAGGGCGGGTCGCTAGTAACGTGTAAAAGGCAAATTTAAGTAGTTTAGTTTTATTTTTATAAATAGACGTTCTTATCCGAAAGTTATATATAAATTCAATATTTTCTCAAGTGTATATAATGCAAACAGTTTCCATGCTTTGGCTCGAGAAGCTTTTTTCTAAAGGAATAGTATTTGCTCAGAGCACTTCAGAGTTACCTACCTAGTTTATTGAAGTCACTAACGTGATCAATATTTTTCTTTGTTTCAGATATCATACCTATTCATACAACTCCGCAATCCCTCAACGGATATTTAGATCTTAAATTAACTTAAGTAGGTACAGCTGTAAGATGCCTTAGATATTAAGTTAATAACATAACATTTGTGATAACGTTTGCAAAAACCTAACTACGAGGCTAACAATAATGTCTAGGACTATTATTTACTAATTTATTTACCTAGAATTAAATAAACTGATTGTTTTTTTGCAAATCACAATGTTTATTACTTCTCCTTATGTCCTTGTTTAAGCAATGTGTTTATCAAAGTATAAAAACAATGTCTAAGTACTTGTTTGACGATACTTATACTTATGTACTCTATACACGGATGTTCGTTCATATTTTGATTATTCTGTCTATTTTGTATAATAAATATGGACGTAAGTATTTGCTTTAAGTAAGTATTGTTCATTCCTATTTACCAGTTTTTTGAATATTATCTGAAGTATCTATACGGAGTCTATAATTGTACCCGATGACTTATCATTACTGGTAAACACATTGTTAATGTGCCCGAGCGTACGATGCGTTAGACCACCACAGGGCTAATGCCAGAATGATTTTAAAAGAAAAAGAAGAAAAGAAGAGCAGGAGTAGGAACGAGGTGGTTTTTAGTTAGTAAGAGCTGTTTTCAGAGGGAGAAAATCATCAATTGGCTGCTCCCGCCTGGGTGAGGCGGGAGGGAGTGTTAGACTCTTACTGACTAAAAACCACCCCGTTCTTTTTTATTTTATTTTTTTACTCCTGCACTTCGCCCCGGTAACCCGTGAGGTTCTCCGCGATACCATATCGGCATCAGCCCTATTGGGCCCCATCTGTGGTGGTCTGATGGCTCTTTGAGGCGCGCGCGGAACGCGACGCGCCGTACGCTCGGGTCTGATTTTGGCCAGACGGCGAGCCACCCATGCTCGCCGTCCCCAGGCCTGCGATACTGGGGTCCTTGGGCAAACAATAATTTAGGGCTCTTTTGGAATGTTTTTTTTTTTGTTATTTTAAATGTTGCCCCACATTATGTACAGGATTTTCTCCTGTATCGTGGGTGCATTTACAAACATACAAGTTCACATAGATATCCAGGGCCGAATTTAGGGATCCAGAGGCCTCGGGGCAACAAAGGAGTGGAGGCCCCCTTGCCCCAAATTATTTTCCAGATTGAGATCGAGGACGCTCGAAAACGATCGAGGACTCTCGATAGATTTCGAGGACGCTCGAAAACAATCGAGGACGCTCGAAAACGATCGAGAACTCTCGATAAATTTCGAGAACGCTCGAAAACAATCGAGGACGCTCGAAAACAATCGAGGACGCTCGATAGATTTCGAGGACGCCCGATAGATTTCGAGGACGCTCGAAAACGATCGAGGACTCTCGATAGATTTCGAGGACGCTCGAAAACAATCGAGGACGCTCGATAGATTTCGAGGACGCTGGACAGATTTCGAGTTTAAGAATTGAAGAATACCAATTGTTCACATACTGCAATTAATTTTTTTAATGGTCGAGACACGGAATCGAATAGCCAACCTCCGAGGTTGCGGGCAAGTACCATCCCACTGAGCCATTGAGCCATTGGGGTACTCCCTCAAGAGGGGTAGTAAATTGAAAGTGCTTATCAGAGCCATTTGAGATTTTGATATTTCACTGATTGCCTGATTGGAGTGAACAAATATAGATCAATGATTTCTGTTTCTGTTAATATTTAAAATTAATATAATCAAATAATCATGTATGTATAAAGTACTTTAGGCTGTAGGTAAAGGTAAAAGCGAAAAAAAAAAATATCAAAGAAAAGATGTTTACTAGGTTTACTAGTTGAAATTTGAAAGATTTTTTTTTCCGAAGTCTCTATTGTGGAGGCCCCCTGCTTGTGGAGGCCCCGGGCCTTTTGCCCCGGTTGCCCCCCCCTAAATCCGGTCCTGTAGATATCACACCCAGACTCGACTCAACAATTTGTGAAGCACATAAAGATTTGAAGAATCCGCTACAAGTTGCGCGGCAGCCGTCAATAAATTTAAGTATTAAGTAAGTATTATATTATTTTTTTTCTAAAACCTATGATTCGCAGGAGCCGCTTTTTTGCTAGAGGCATAGGCAGTAATAAAACCTTAATCTTTTCTATTGCGATTTTTAACATGATTGCCAAGATTGAGAATTATGGTAAACGGTAACTTAAAATCGCGGGTTACTCACGTGAATATACTGAGAAAGCTCTACTAGTTTCGAGCCACAGAGGGGCTCTTCCTCATGAGCAGCTTGCGCGGTCGCGCCTCCTACTCCGTGAGAGTAATACGTGATTTTTAGTTAATTTAGTATGTTTCAAGATAAAAACTATGGGAAACCTATTTATTTAGAGAAGTTACATACTCCAGCAGTCTACGTCATAGGTCACACACACTAATCTTGAAATAAACAAATATCATATTTTTATAATTTACCAAAGTATTACTGTTTTTTTTTTTAAATTTCAGTAGCAGCACGTAGTCTCGAATTGTGCCCGGCATATGGCAATAGGCTCACCTCCTGTTACATGGGGCTCATAACATAAATAGTGAAAAGTGGATGTTACATTACACAGCGGCATAATGTACACCTCTGCCTACCGCCTTGGGGATAAGAAGCGTGATTTTATGTTATGTTATGTTATTATTAATTTATTGGTGCGTGCGAATGCTGGCAACCATGCCAGCCGCGGTGGCTCGGCTACACGCAGCTTCGATTTTAATATTTGGCGTATTTTGAGTGTGTTTTAAAACTATGTAGTTCAGAACAATAAATAAAATGTACTTAAATAAATACGGTAATATTTATTTTTATTATTACAAACTTTTATAAATTAACTGATAGATCAATGTCAGCCAGTTTCAAACCTAGATTAAAACCTAAAATAGTAGATAAAAGTCTTTGTCAGAATAAAACCAATTTCCTTACAATTTAGATTTTAAAAAAAGATAATAAAAAGTAATATAGGATAAAAACTAAAAACTCTTTGTCTATGCCTCAATGTTTCATTTCGTACATTCTAAATTCAAAGCGTTCTAATTTCAAAGGTTTGCCTTTTGGTTCTCGTTGAAGGAGGTAGCGGTGGCGGACGCGGAGGCGGACGCCTTGGTAAAGGAGCGATGGCGTTGATTGTTTTTCGGGCGTCCATCTTTATTGTAAGATAGTTCGTGGCTGCCACTCCCATAACTGAAAAAAGGGTTATTTTATTTATAACGCAATTAATGTACTTTTTTCTGAATGTGGGCAAATTTTTAAAATTATTTTTGTTAATGTAAACATATATCCTTCAAGATACCTTTCTTGGTAATGGATCTTCATTATTAAAACTTGAGCATGAAAAAAAAATACTTAGACAATACAATACAAATATAGGCATCTTTTTTTTTTTTTTTTTTTTAAGGGGGGAAAATCATCGAATGACTGCTCCCGCCTGGGTGAGGCGGAAGGGAGTGTCAGACTCTTACTGACTAAAAACCACCCCGTTCCTTCTCCTGCACGTCGAGCCGGAGCCCCGGTTACCCGTTAGGTTCTCCGCGACTCCGAATCGGCATCGGCCCTATTGGGCCCCATCTGTGGTGGTCTGATGGCTCTTTGAGGCGCGCGCGGAACGCGACGCGCCGTACGCTCGGGTCTGTTTCTGGTCGGACGGGGAGCCACCCATGCTCGCCGTCCGCAGGCCCGCGCTTACGGTGGCCGGAGATCGTCCCGCGATCCCCGACGCCCGGTGTGTCCTTCGCGATGGCTGGGTTGCGAGGAGGCAGCGCTTCGCTGCCTCACGCGTCCCGCCTCCTCCTTAGCTAGCATGACTGCTTCGCAAAAGGAGGAGACGGCATCCCAGTCCCCCTCGCTCCGCATCATGGCCTGCACTAGGCCCGGACGCGAGAGGTCGCCATCGCCGATCACTCCCTGAGGGCACGGCGGTGCTCAGCCCACGCAGGGCATTCCGCTACGGTGTGTTCCACCGTGTCCTCAAGGCGGTCCTCGCAGTGATGACACCCGGGCGTTTCCTCCCGCCCCATCAGACACAGGTACCTCCCGAAACTTCCATGTCCGGTGAGGACCTGCGTCAGGCGGTAGGTGAGGACGCCGTAGCGTCTCTCAAGCCACTCCTCAAAGAGGGGACTTACCGCTGCAATGGCAGCGAGCCCAGCCCTCGGTTGCGACAGTCGTTGCTGCATTCCGCCATGAGATCGCGCGGAGCTCATCCCGCCACGCACTTATCTGGCGCGGCAGCGGAGTTTCGCCCCGGCGACGTGCCTCCGCGCGCATGTTATACACGCGCGCGAGCACCTTCGCCTCCAGATCCCACGGCGGTAATCCGGCAAGGAGGTTCGCCGACTCCCCAGCGATCGTGCGGTATCCGCGGATCATTCGGATCGCCATGACCCTCTGTGACTTGAGCAGCGTCCGAGCAGGACGCCGCAACAAGTTCGGCGCCCAAACAGGGGCGCCGTAGAGGGCCATGGACCGCACGACCCCGGCGTATAACCTCCGGCAGGAGGCGTTTGGCCCCCCGAGGTTGGGGAGGATGCGTTTGAACGCAGCCCCCGTCCTCTCCAACTTTGGAGCCAAACGTCGGAAATGCTCTATGAAGTTCCACCGACTGTCGAGGACGAGTCCTAGGTACTTCATCGCCGTCTCGACGCCGATGGTAACCCCTCCCGCCGTTATTTGGGACCCACCCGGAGGTGGCGCGTTCCCGCGGCCATGAAAACACATGGCCTCGGACTTGTGGAGCGCCACCTCGAGTCCCAACTGCCGGATTCTTTCAACGACTGTCGCAACCGCTGTCGCCATTAAGTCGGCCGCCGCCTGGTGCGACCTCCCGTGCGCCAGCACCAGCGTGTCGTCGGCGTAGCATATTGTGCTAACGCCGTTCGGGAGGTCGGTGCGCAGCACCCAGTCATAGCCGATGTTCCACAGGAGCGGCCCCAGAACCGAACCCTGTGGAACACCGCGTGACATCTCTCGCCGGTTCCACTCGCCCCGGTGACCGGGGTAGCTGACGGACCTGTCCGTCAGGTAAGCCTCGATTACACGACGGAGGTAGGTAGGCACCCGATGATATCGGAGTGCCTCCAAGATGCAGCTCCAGGGCAGGGAGTTGAAGGCGTTGGCGATGTCCAGAGACACCGCCACTACGACCTTACCCCTGGACACTGCAGTCCCCGTCGTGAGGTCTCTAACGCGCATGATGGCGTCCACCGTGGAGCGCCCTCTGCGGAAGCCGAACTGGCCGTCCGACAAGTCCGGCCCAATGTCCGTCAGGTGCGCGACGAGGCGGTTCGAAATGATTCTTTCGAAGACTTTCCCCACCTCGTCGAGCAGCACTATGGGCCGGTACGCGAACCTGTATTCGCTTATTACTTGGACCACACACTGATTGAAAGATCCTTGCAGTTGAAACAAATCGATGTAGGTATTAATTGTTAGTTAACTAGACTGCTTCGTTGGCCGAGTGGTCGCAAGTGCGACTGCCGGGCAAGGGGTCTCGGGTTCGATTCCCGGGTCGGGCAAAGTATTACTGGGTTTTTAAACATTCTCAGTAGTGGCACGGAGTCTGGAATTGTGCCCGGTATATGGCAATAGGCTCACCCCCTATTACATGGGACTCATAACATAAATAGTGAAAAGTGGGTGTTACATTGAAATGTGCACCTCTGCCTACCCCTTCGGGGATAAAAGGCGTGATATTATGATTATGTTAACTAGATGTGTCAAATGAAACGTATTGTTACTGTTGATTTTTCAATATTAACTAACTAATTTTGTAAGCGAGTAGACTGGCCACTTCGTTACGAGTTACTTTTTCCGTCTTAACATAAATCCTTATTTTAAATTTTCACTCCAACGTATAGTATTAGATTCATCTCCTCCAAAAGGAATGATATACAAGTACATAAATAGGTACTATCCTACTTATGTACTTGGACTGCCTTGTTGGCCGAATGGGTTCGATTCTCGGGTCGGGAAAAGTATTACTGGGTTTTTAAAAATTTTCAGACTACAGAGAATCGGAGACTCGGTGCTACTAAGCACTATACAACTAAGCACGGAGTCTGGAAATGTGCCCGGTATATGGCAATAGGCTCACCCCCGATTTACTTATTTTAAGTGTGGGAGAGCCATGCTTCGACAATGTAACGGAGCGTTACATGACTACCTCTATTTATGTTTCTTTATTGTTTTTAAGGTTGATGTTACGAATGTTGGTTTTTGTGTCTACGCGCCGCGTTCCGAGGCGCTAGTAGAACCGACTGGCCGGCTCGACCGGAGTGATACCACGGCCTCACAGAAGACCGACGTGAAACAACGTTGTGTTGTGTTTCGTCGAGTGAGTGAGGTTACCGGAGGCCCAATTACCCCCAACAATCCTAAAATTCCTAATCCAGAAGGCCGGTAACGCACTTGTAACGCCTCTAGTGTTCCAGGTGTCCATGGGCGACGCCGATTGCTTACCATCAGATGATCCGTCTGCCCGTTTACCGGCTTATCCCATGAAAAGTGGGTGTGTGTGCACTGCCTATCCCTTCGAGGATAAAGGGCGTGATGTTATGTATGTATTTGGAAGTGTTCCACCAACCTGCCACCTCCCAGCTCCTCACTGCATCCAAGCCGCTCCCTGCTGAAGTTGTCGTTCTGGTCATCATTCCTCCCATAAGTACCGCCGTTGTTATTGCCGTAACTACTGGGATTGTAGCCTCTCTTCACTCGTTTCGTGTCAAATCTCCAGTCTGAAATGTTCCGTGTATGTTTTTTTTTTGAAATGTTGCCCCGCACCTGCGATTTCTCCTTTGTCGTGGAGTCGTCACATACACATGACACCCAGGCCCGGAACAACAATTTGTGGATCACACAAAGAGTTGTTCCGTGCGGGAATCGAAACCGCGACACGTTGCGTGGCAGCCGGTTGTCCAGCCACCGCACTAACCGTGTTGTCATTTAAATTTCTTGTAGATTTTTGATGTGAATGTGTTGAAGTTCATCTGACTAAAGGATTCTTAAATGATTTTTTGAGTTGATCCTTAAGTAAAGCTGAATTGGGTAGTTTCTTAAATTTTATTTTAATGTCCGTCTGGTACATTAATTTAAAACTTTAAACACGTATTTTTTCTTTTCTCACAAAATTAAACACTTTTGACGATATAATAATTTGAAATATCGTGTGACGTCACAGCGTGTCACATTTTGTAGCACGTTATGACGTAACGACCTCTCACTCCTAAACTTAGCGCCATTTTACCTAAGTATTGTAACTTAATACAGGAAAAATAAAAATACGTGTCTAATATTTTTTCCTTATCTAACTGACCGACTAATTAGATTTTTAATTTTGATACCCTGGACCCAATTAAAACTTGTACTTATTTCGACATCTGGCAAAACAGTTTTAGTTCTAACAAACAATTCTAATTTAGGTATATTTGGTATACTCACCTCTGCCTTCAACAATAACAGCTAGGAGCACCATAAAAGCGAACACAGTAGCTACCTTCGCCATTTTCGAACGAGTATGATGCATCAGTTACCCACACATGGTATATATGTCGCAGGGCACAGGATGGCTGATGCCATCGGATGTCACGGTCTGTCCAAACGTCATGATTTCGGTGACACGCCGTGATGACCGCACAAAGCCACTGCGACGGTTTAATTCAGTTTTGACGGATTGTCCATCGCCCTTGACTTTGGGGACAGGAGCCCATTATGCACAGTTTGAATGACCTTACAAATGTCAGAGGAAGAAGATTTTGGGTTTTCTGCCTAATTCTGATGAGAAAATTGGCATAATTTGGCTGTCAACTCCGTGTCTACTTGTTTAAAGTTGTTGTGGGCCTGGGAAACTAATTCATTATTATATTCTATCTTAAAAACAGTTAGTCGCGGAGAACCTAACGGGTAACCGGGGCTGCGGCTCGACGTGCAGGAGAAGGAACGGGGTGGTTCTTAGTCAGTAAGAGTCTGACTCTCCCTTCCGCCTCACCCAGGCGGGAGCAGTCATTCGATGATTTTCCCCCCTTAAAAAAAAATAAATAATCTTAAAAACAGGTGCCATGCCGCCAGAACAGGTACTAGAAGCTTTGACTCTGTAACGTGGTAGGTTAAAAAAATGCTACCTACATAAGGATTCCCTATTTATAATTACGTAGATTTTGATAGATTTGCTAACATTTTTAATTATTAATAACTGCACTGAGTTCGTAATTTTTTTGTGTTATAAGCCGGTAAACGAGCAGACCGATTATCTGATAAATAGTAAGCAATCGGTGCCTCCCATTGACACCCAAAATACCAGAGGTGCAACAAATGCGTTATCGGCTTTATGGGGATTAGGAGTTTAAAGATTGTTGGGAATTCAGGGATTGTGGAGATTGGTAATTGGACCTCCGGTAACCCCACTGACACTTTTTATTGTTTACCGAAATAATGTAACATGTATCCAGTATGTCCTTTGTATTTTCTAAGTACCAGTTACTAGGCCCACATAAGCTTGATGTAATCAAATAACAGGCTACAACTTTGATCCATCGTAATCAAACGGATTGATCGAGTGTTCCGAGTGACTAGTCACATCAATAATATTACTTAACACATTCGCAGCCGGTTTGAACTCAATGTTATTAACGCTAACCTTGACTGTACGGTCGTTCGCTTGATTTTTTCCCCGCCATTTTTTTTCGTAAACAATCATCACTTGATATCATAAAAAGAGTTTCGTTTGTACCTTTCGGAATCAACTGAGCGTGAATGTAGGTACATGGTTATGGACCCGGCTTTGATCGGATTGTTTATCAATAACTTTCAAAATGAAGGATTAATTAGGACAATATCAGTAGTCTTAACTTGCAGTCCACTCAAAATGGTGAGCACTTTTGTGTTATTCTTCCTTGTGGATTTTGCTCTCCAACTTGCTTGCCAAGCTGGGAGATTATGGTAAACTGGATTCCAGTTTTGAACTTTCACAGGCTGTTGATGATTAGGCAAGTCTTTATAATATCGTTCTCTCATATCGTAGGTATCATCAGTTTGTATGAAAATATCTATTTTTTTTTTTTAAGGGGGGAAAATCATCGTATGACTGCTCCCGCCTGGGTGAGGCGGAAGGGAATGTCAGACTCTTACTGACTAAAAACCACCCTGTTCCTTCTCCTGCACGTCGAGCCGGAGCCCGGTTACCCGTTAGGTTCTCCGCGACTCCGAATCGGCATCGGCCCTATTGGGCCCCATCTGTGGTGGTACTTGGATTAGTCCAAGTATAGGTACTTAGTACTTCGGTAATAATACCGAAAGCTAACAGAATTAAAGCTCCTAGAACTCCATTACTACGAAAGATGAAACTCTTAAACCGATTCCTGGATTCAAAGCCAGACTGTGTATGTGTATTCGAGTGAAAGAAGACTATTTTAATACTTGAAGTTTAGCAAATGAATGATAGTAACAGTAATAATTAAGTATTAAAATTTTGTATTTCATTTTTTCTTCTAACTGTATGTTTTGAGTAGTGTATTTGATATTTGTTCATTTTTATTCAAATAAATAAATATCTGTTCAGGATTAGTTCGTTTAAAAGGTACAGACAAACCAACATAGAGCTAATGTTTATTGTACATATCTTTGAAGTTATATTCCAGTCGTTGCTCTTTTATAGATCAATAGAGGACCTATTAAGTTAAACCCGTCAAACAACTATGCTTTCTTCGGGATTTCTTCTCTCAGTCACGTGTAGGAAATATATTTGACTATTTTGACATTGTTGCTAACTGATATACTTGTGGTGGTTTCGATCGGAGAATCGGAATCATCTATAGATTATTTTATTTCGAATGTCACCAACATTGTTTTGTTTGTTTGACCACGTTTACTTCTGGAACTACTTATCCGATTTGAAAAAATGTTTGTGTTGTATATACTATTTATCAAGAAAGGCTGAGCAGAGCGGATGTAGCGCGAGAGTAGCTAGTTAAACATAAATATATCATACATAACACAACATAACATCACGCCTTTTATCCCCGAAGGGGAAGGCAGAAGTGTACATTATGCCACTGTATAATGAAACACCCACTTTTCACTATTTATGTTATGAGTCCCATGTAACAGGGGGTGAGCCTATTGCCATATACCGGGCACAATTCCAGACTCCGTGCTACTACTGAGATTTTTTTTAAAAACCCAGTAATACTATGCCCGACCCTGGAATAGAACCAGAGACCCCTTGGACCACTCGGCCAACGAGGCAGTCGTAAATATATCACAATGATACAATTTTTTACATACCTAGATGGGTCAGGGTTACAAATTTGTTTGTTTAATTCACTCAGAATCAAATAAAAGGAAACCAGATTGAGATGTTTATTTATTTTCTTTTTATGGGATAAGCCGGTAAACGAGCGCACGGATCACCTGATGGTAAGCAATCGGCGACGCCCATGGACACCTAGTGTGTGTTACAAGTGCGTCACCGGCCTTTTGGGGATTAGGAGTTTGCGGATTTTTGGGGATTCAGGGATTGGGGAGATTGGGGAAGGCGGCTGGTAATAGGGCCTCCCGTAATCTCGCTCACATGACGAAACACGACGCAAGCGCTGCTTCACATCAGTCTTCTGTGAGGCCGTGGCATTGCTCTCCCACACTTCTCAAGAATATTATTTTATCAGTATTTTCAACGCTAGCTTTCTGTAAACGCTTGTATTTATAGAGGATATATATGCGTATGTTGACGGAAGTCCCCGATCCTGTAGGCATATCAGGATAAAAAATTACTTTCCAATGTTACACCTTGGAAGGTAATAATGCAGAAAGATTTTATCAAATCGGTCGAGTATTTTCAGAGCCTATTCAATGCAAATAAACGGACAATTGAAATCTTTCCTTTTTATAGACACTCTTCATATATATAAATATGTATAACTGAATAGGTACCTATTGTTTTATTGTGTTTAGCAGCAATTAGTCACTACAGGTCAGAAATGAGTTGCTAATAACATTGCCTCTCCTTGGAAATATAAGGACATGGGTTAAGAATGTATTTTATTATTATTCACAAATTATATTCAATTGACTTTGTGTTTTTCTTAGCTATAAAATGTTTAAGAACACACTGTTTGTATGTAAGTAGTTTTATCATTATTATGAAAGAAAATTTCTTTCAATAGAGACGTTGTGGGTTCCTTAATGAAAGTTGGAAACTCAAGTGTGGGAGAGCCATGCTTCGGCACGAATGAGCCGGCTCGACCGGAGTGATACCACGGCCTCACAGAAAACCGACATGAAACAACATTTGCCTTGTGTTTCGTTGTGTGAGTGAGGTTACCTGAGGCCCAATTACCCCACTCCCCAATCTCCTCAATTCCCGAATCCCCAATAACCCTCAAATTCCTAATTCCTAAAAGGCCGGTAAAACATTTGTAACATCTCATGAGTGGCGGCGATTGCTTGCCACTTATTGATATTTTATATTTTTTAAACGATATAACTTCTTGGAATTTTCACATACCTCAGAACAACATTCTGTGAATCATACAAATAATTGTTGTGTTTGCCCAGTCATTGTTTACGAAAACCGTGTAGATAAACAGGAGTGTGTTTTTTTTTAAATCGTTAATTAGTTTAGGGTATAGGCTATTTGGTTACGGAATGGTATTAAAAACTTGGAAAGTATCCTCCAGAGCTGCATGCAACACTTCGTGCGTTACTAGGGCTCCAGCTTCAAGCAGAAGTTAGAACGGGGTGGGTTTTAGTCAGTAAGCGTCTGACACTTCCTCTCGCCTCATGCAAAGCTGGCCGAATCCTTACCTGGATTTCCTCCTTAAAAAAGGTGATTATAGTCCTAAGAAAATTCCATGTTTATGAGACTTATCTTTATTTATATGTTATAAGTAATAATTTTAATGCATCCAAGTAATAACATGTTTCTATTAGTTTGTATTCATTCAATATTTATTACTTCATCTCGGTCGATTACTGGAACGTGATCAAGTTAAGTATGCGCATACAATATGTTCATAACAATTTATTACCATGTAACAACACTTCTTGATATTTCCAGGATGCGTCTTAATCTTATAGTATTATTTAAAGCGGAAGAGTTTGTTTGTTTGAACGCGCTAATCTCCGTAACTACAATTCTGATTTGAATAATTCTTTTTGTGTTGGATAGCGCATTTATCGAGGATGAGTATAGGCTATAAAACATCACGCTACGACCAATAGGAGCTGAGGAGAGAGTGTAAAACCGTGCGGAAGTAGCCTGTGTAACATAATTTCAATTATCAACAGGCTATAAAGCTTTCATTGCTGGTAAAAGGCCTCTTCTGATTTATAGAAGCAATGAACATTATTCACCAGGCTTGTATAAGGCGGTTAAGTGATTTCAAACTTATAATTTCAAAATTGTAAGTTCAGGTTTTCTCGCTGTGTGAGGGAGGCGGACGACCTTGCGAGTTGCTGAGACTCCGGCTCGAAATAGAAGTTGGAACGGGATGGTCCTTTATCAGTAAGTGATGGTACTCCCTCGTGCCTCACGTACCTAAGGTGGGAGAAGTCAATTTATTAAAAAAAAACATTTATGAAAAAGGTTCCTTACCATGTCGTCCGTATATATGTATCAGTATGCATATTAAAGGCGATGAGTGAACCCTTTACCACAGTGATTTTTAACCACAGGTAATGACATACATTATCATATATTATATGTTAATAAAAACTATGATCACGAGTTTCCGTGACTATTAATATTTAACTGGATCAAGTTACAAATATCTTCTTGTGGTTTCTTTATGATTGAATATTTTTTATACATACATACATAAGGACGTAAATGTGTTCTAGGAAATGATTAGACGCCGGTACATCTTTTATATCAATGGTTTGTTTACAATTTTAGGTTTTTTTTATGGCATAAGCCGGTAAACGAGCAGACGGATCATCTGATGGTAAGCAATCGGCGTCGCCCATGGACACCTGGAACACTAGAGGCGTTACAAGTGCGTTACCGGCCTTTTGGCCGTTTTAGGAGTTTGAGGATCATTGAGGATTCAGGAATTGGGGAGATTGGAGAAGGGGAGGGTCATTACACGATGAAACACAATGCACGTCACGTCGGTTTTCTGTGATGCCGTGGTATCACTCCGGTCGAGCCGGCCTATTCGTGCCGAAGCATGGCTCTCCCACACTTAATTAGGTTTAATTATATGCTCAAAGGAAAATAACAAACACAATATAAACATTAATAAAGCCATTTTTATTAGATAACTATAAACAACATTTTTTAAATAAATCTAAGTACATGCTCTACATCTAAAACTGACTACTGGGATTAACATCACTATTTAATATTTTATCGCCCCCATCCGTAGCCTTTACCATACTCCTTGCCATCATGTTTACCATCATCTTTGCCTCCTTTGCCTTTCCCATCATCTTTACCTTTACTACCATCATTTCCCTTGCCACCGCCACCATTTCCTTTTCCATCCCCACCCTTCCCGCTTTTGCCACCATCCTCTTTGCTCTCACTGCTGCTGCTACTGTCGGAGCTGCCACCACTACTACCATTTTTGCCGCCACCCTTTCCGCCTTTGTCATGGTCTCCGCTTTTACCGCCTTTATTGTCATCTCCACCCTTACCACCATGGCCACCGTCACTATCTTTTCCTCCTACAAAATAGTTTTAAATATTATAATACACAATGCTATTCAAATGTTTTAAAATCACTAATGTTCTAAAATACCTCTATAGTGCTTTAATACAATAGGCATCACATCAGTGTGGGTCCAGAATAGAGAGAAAGAGGAACATGTGTAACACAGCAGTAAACGAAATATTTTTTTTTATCTTTAAAACGTTGCCCCACATTAGGATTTTCTCCTGTGTCGTGGGTGCGTTTACAAACATACAAGTACACATACACAATGACACCCAGACCCGAAACAACAATTTGTGGATCACACAAAGTGTTGATCCGTGCGGGAATTACACCCGCGACACGTTGGACGGCAGCCGGTTGCCCAGCCACCGCACCACCGTGCAGTCATTAAATTATTTGTTGTATTATTCCGTTCAGTTAATATTTATTATTGGCAGAAGATTGATTAAAAATGTAATTTTTAATAAAGTTAGAAATGGTATACTTATGAAAAAAGCGCAGTATAATATCATAATTTTATTCATGAACATAAATGGAAAGATCCTTACCACCGCCGCCGGGCGCTGCGTACACACACACTGCCAACACCACGAGTGCTAGAACAATTATTGTTATCTTCTTCATGTTATATTTTATGAAATTTTCTTCTCTTCTGTTGAATGTTTTTAATACTTCGTTGGTCTTATAACCACACTTCTGTCTATCGACTACGATCACTTGTAATCCAGTTGGTCCTTAAATACTCATTCACTTTCCGATTTTCTACATTTTTTTGGACAGTTTTTCCTACTGAACTATTAAGTCTGTTACAAATTACCTCATATTGGACAATCTCTTTAGCATCTAAGTTTTTGCTTAGATTCTCGATGTAACTAATTTGAATGAATGTCTTGATTTATTTAACAGGTTTACGATTTTCAATTTTAGTACTGTAGTCCTAAAATTTCATTTGCATTGTTATTCTGTTGTTACTTTTAATTTAGACTTATTTGATTAGTTCCGGTAATATGATCCTGCTGAAGAAGCTATTCTTTATCCACAGAACAAGTGTTTATTGACTTCCTAGTTTCGAATATGAACTTTACGATATTCATATCCAGTTTGCATAATAACATTATTGTTCATCTAATCGTTACCTGATTCGAAGCAACACAAAAGGATTTCAAGGTTATTCCAATCAATACTTGTCTTGGTTGAGTCATATAGTAATAATACGTATATCATTATATTTGTTTATCTTCTTGTTGCTAAGTAACATTATAAGGTTGGAATATCAATATTTTTTTAAAGGGGTGAAAATCATCCCATGGCTCAGCCTCTCGTCTCACCCGGGCGTGAGACGGACTCAGACTGTCTTACTGACTAAAAACCACCCCTACTTCAGCTCTTTAAAGTCGGGTCCCCGGCAACACGTTAAGTCTTCCACGGCTCCGCTTCGGTCATCAGCCCCAAATTTTGCCTTATAGGTAGTGGTCTGATGGTTCTATGAGACACGCGCGGAATGCGATGCGTCGCACGCGCGGGTTATCAATATTAGGATTATGAATACTCCGTTTGTTCTAATATTTATAGTTAGTGCATAGAGACGGGACATCGGTATGGTTAGTAGTCACTAAGAATCTGATAGTCACATTCGTCCTACCCAAGTGAGCGGCTCCATGAAGAATTTGTATCTTGATGTTTTAAGGGCTGCTAATCTGTACAATAAACCAGAAGTGTGTGTAGGTTTCAGTCTTGTGTATGATAACTGAAAACTGTAGTTCGATAGTAATGTAGGTCCTGATGTTTGTTATTTTAGTTTTTATTTAAAACCAGCAAGTAACTTCACAAAACAACATAACGGTTCTTTATTTTTAAAAATTAGAATAGAATAGAATATAACTTTATTGTACACCATTAATAATGTAGTACAAACAGAAAAGGAAATGACAAATATAAATAAAAATAATAATGGGCACAAAGGCGGTCTTATCACTTATAGTGATTTCTACCAGACAACCTTTGGGTGGATATAATGAAAAGAAATATTTAGACGGCTTGTGTACTAAGAAAATAAATAAATAACGTAGTAATAATACATACATACATGTAAACATGCATACATATACAAAATTACCCATTTCTAGGTAATTATTTTCTAGGTAATTTTTTTCTTTTTTCATAAAAATCGGTTAAGTCATACACATTTCCCTTTATTATGACGTCGGGATAATGGGAAATGTGAACGACTGGACCGATTTCTTTACTTCTGTTTTTGTTGCTGTATTTGTTATTATCAGAAAAGCATCGAAATAATCGGGAAAAAGTATCGTTATTATTAACATATTATCATTTGCGAAAGTGTATACTGTTGTTCTTATGAAGATGTCAATGCCATCGATTTAGCTGAGACGTTAAATTGAGTCCAGTTTATCAAATAAGTAATGTTTTATTTCATTTATTTTATCTGAACATAGGCTATTATTATTACATACTATTGTACTAATAGAGTTTCTAATACCCAAATCACGGCGATAATATAATTTTGTTGTATAGACAGCAATGCATTGATGATAGCTAATTGCACTTAGGATACGATGACCATTTGCAACAGCTACAGCCACACTTATAGCCCATCTAGTTTAAGTGGGATGTAAGTTTTGTTGCTACTGATAGGAAATAGCTTTAAAATCAAAGACTCTTCTAGAACGTTATATGTGTTAGTAATTCGGTAGTTTCCAAGGTATCAAAATTAAAAATCTAATTAGTCCGTCAGTTAGATAATGGAAATATATTACACGTATTTTTTCGTATTTTAAGTTGCAATACTTAGATAAAATGGCGCTAAGTTTAGGAGTGGGAGGTCGTCAAGTCATAAAGTGCTACAAAATGTGACACACTATGACGTCACACTATATTTCAAATGAATATATCGTCGAAAGTATTTAATATTGTGAGAAAAGAAAAAATACGTGAAAGTTAAGTTTTAATTAATCTACCAGACGGACATTAAAAAGGAAACTCCCTATTTCATTAGTAATTTTAAGGGTCTAAGTAAGGACATTAAAAAGCAGTAGTTTTATAAAAAACAATAAAATTTATTTGGATTGCATTTATACATATTTACGTATGGCGAAAAGTAAACTATTTGTTTTATCACATTGAGCTTTTGAATTTTTGTTGTTCCTAACGATATTCATGCATCAGTTCAGCGTCTGAAACAAACAAAACAAAATGTAGTTAGTAATGCAGCCAATGAGTGTACAATGTTTTTGCTTTAATGTGTTACAATGTACTTTTGGGAATTTAAGAAAAAAACATAATGAAATATGTAATTATAATGTGAATCTTTTTACTATGTTATGGATGCATGTAGATGTTATCAGGAACTACTACTATTCATCATGCTACAGCGTTAATTTATTTGAATATCCTTACCCGTATCCTCCTTTGTGGCCACCGCCAGCGCTAGCGCTAGCTTGGGCGTTTGAGCTAGCAATGGCACCAGAACCACCGTAGCCTCCTCCGCTGTGACCACCGTGTCCGTGTCCACTGTGTCCACTGTTTCCACCGTGTCCACCGTGACCACCGCCGCCACCACCGCCTATTCCGCCGCCAAAACCACCGCCATTACCGCCGCCGTGTCCTCCACCGATTCCACCACTGCCTCCGTGTCCTCCACCGATTCCAGCACTGCCTCCGTGTCCTCCACCGATTCCAGCACTGCCGCCGTGTCCTCCACCGATTCCAGCACTGCCTCCGTGTCCACCATGGCCTCCTTGTCCACTACCACCTCCGAGGCCGCCGCCGCCTCCCTGGCCACCACCGTAGCCGCCGCCGCCTCCCTGGCCACCGCCATAGCCGCCGCCGCCTCCTTGGCCACCGCCGAAGCCGCCTCCATGACCACCACTTCCTCCGTGGCCAATGCCGCCGCCGAGACCACCGCCTCCTCCGTGGCCACCGCCGCCGCCGCCACCGCCGCCGTAGCCGCCACCTATGCTGCCACCACCTTGGCTACCGCCACCATATCCACCTGGAACATAGAACGACACAAGTTAAAGCAAAAACATTTTACAAAAAGTATAAAATAATAAATACTACTTAGTTTACGATTAGGTTTTATATTATGTAGTCCATTTCGTTAGACGAAGCAGCTTCCAATTGACGTCACAAAATTACAAGGAATAGAAAATTCCTCTTTATTAGTTTATTCTTAATAGGTAACTTTTAAGAATCAAAACAAAACTATAATAACAATAAAGTATGAGTATATAAGTACCTGGTGCGGCGTAAGTAATTGCGAATAGCCCGAAGGCTAGAGTGAGGACTGCTAGACGGGCCATGTTGCTCTGTGCCTTCTGATCCCTCAACCTACCTTATATACAGCCTCGCTTATGTCATGAACATGAACGAGCACTGTTTATTAGACTCTTCATTTTTTGCTCCAGCGGTTTTTTGTAATAATTATTAAGGTTCCGCTGAATTAAAATATCCTGATTTTATGCATCGATATATAGTTACGGTTAGATGAAGGCTAATAAAAATGATTGCTGCCAGTTCGTAAATTTTGATAGGTTTTAATGACGTGGTGCTTGGAGCTTTTTTCATTTCAGGGTGATGTCATGGTGTTCTAATATCTATACTTTGATTTTGATGGAGAATTTAAATCTCCTGGTCGTTATAAAAATGTTCTTTACAAAACTGCAAAAAAAATTGTTACTATACCTTTTGGAGTATTTCGATGGTGTTTTGATGAGCGATTTTCTCCAGTATTGTTATCTAGAGTGCCACTGTTATTGTCATCTTGCGTATTCTTATTTTTGGATTTTGATATCGGCATTTTTAATTTAACCTAATTGAAACAATGCAATGCTTAAAAAATAAGGTAACATTTTTATTCAACTGTCAAAGTTTTTTTTTTATATTTTGCAAAAAAGTTTCATTGAATGAGGTTCGATATCGAGTCCTTGTGCAGTGTAAAATGCTTGTTACTTAAACATAATAATCATAATTATTGTTTTTCAGCCACATTTATAACGCAGAAATTCTTTATAGAAACAATAAAATTTTTCTTATCATTTCTGTCTTAAGATATCCGAAATCTTTAATAAGAAACACGATTCAAGAATTAAATAATATTGCGGAACCCTTACCGCAGTAATAATAATACATTTATATTAAATTCATTCGTTAACACGTCGAGAGAGTTTTTGTGTAGCGCTCAGCCGATCAATACATACATAGACAATATATATGTAGGTATATACTAGTATAATAGTAAATATTGCGCCCGCGTCAGTACCGGCCAGTTTAGGTCGTTTACACTCTAACGGCTATTGCTAATGGTTAATGGTAAGCTATAAAATAGCGTTCTTCGTAACTACAGGATTCTATCAGTATTATTTATTGATGAAGTTGTTATGTTAAAAGACTGCCTCGTTGGGTTAATGGTCGCAAGTGCGACTGCCGGCCAAGGGGTCTCGGGTTCGATTTCCGAGCCAGGCAAAGTATTACTAGGTTTCATAAAATTCTCAGTAGTAGCACGGAGTCTGGAATTATGCCCGGTATATGACAATAGGCTCATCCCCTATTACACGGGACTATAATAATATAAATAGTGAAAAGTGAGTGGGTTACATTGTACAGTGGCATACAATTTGCACCTCTGCCTATCCCTTCGGGGATAAAAGACGTGATGATATGTATGTATATATTGTAATGTTATCATTAACAGCATCTGAGAATCTACTACAGGACAATAACTTGTCAGTAATCCAGCCTAACGTTAATAAGTTTAGCGCACAAGAAGTTATAGCATGTACAGGACAACAAACCTAATATAATATCTCCTTGGAGATACCTGGAAATATTTTTTATTAGTAAGCGAGTGAACTGATAAGGAAACAGTTTGTTATTGTTATTCTACGAATCGGTTTATCGACCGAGAGATCTGTTTTGATAGGTTCTTTCCCAGCGCCGCCGCCGTGGGGATCACAACACTAGTCTAGCGAGTGCTAGTAGCCTAGCAACGTTCATGCTGGGAGCTTGTGTTAGCATGGTAAGTTGTTGGTGCTTCATTCTGATATGTTAGGTTATTTTCAATACATCAACATTTGTATTCATTACTATCACCATAAATAAAAATCTTTGTTCTATATCTTTTCAAAATTCATCAAGTAAAATATTTCTTATTACACAAAAATATTGATTTTTTTATTTATTTGGCCGAGTGGTCGCAAGTGCGACTGCCGGGCAAGGGGTCTCGGGTTCGATTCCTGGGTCGTCCAAAGTATTACTGGGTTTTTAAAAATCTCAGTAGTTGCATAGAGCCTAAAAATGTGCCCGGTATATGGCAATAGGCTCACCCCCTATTACATTGGACTCGTAACATAAATAGTACATTGTACATTGTTACATTGTACAGTGGCAATAAGTGCCGAAATGTGTACCTCTGCCTACCCCTTCGGGGATAAAAAGGCGTGACGTTATGTTATGTGTTATTTAATTATTTATTAAATGTTACGAACGCTACGCTATAAAATATGATTACTTTTGAAACTTCATAGATTATATGTTTTTGTTTTTATACCTATTATATTATTATGTTAGTCATACACTCCTGCGAGGTTGTTGATGTATTTAATATAACCCTGTATAAAATTGGCATCGAAACGAAGATAAAGAGTAGAGGAAATATGCTGAAACAATGAAAAGAATAACAAAATCAATATCATTCATTTCTATTAGACCAGGAGGCTTACTCTTGAATCCAATTCCGATCGATCGACATTGGTATTGTGAAATTTCGTACTCTCGAGTTGTAACATTAGCGCCCATTACATCCGTCTTGCGCGGATATTGAATGAACTAAATAGTATTGAGTCAAGCTTTATATTCCGTACTCTGAATGCTATTTTAACAGCTGCGATAGGGGTTGTATAGTTTTGACATTGAATAATTATTGAGAATTTATTGGATTGAAATTGAGATTGGTTTCAAGAGTAAGCACCCAGGAAGGCACTTTTGAACTTGCCAAAACAAAATTTGAAAAAATTTAATGTTAGTCTGTGGATTAGTTTTCTAGTGAAGCTATTAGTACGTTAATTGTCTTCTTATTCAGTTTCATCAAAGACCCTGAGTTAAGATAATTTCATATTTGTGTTTGCATTGTCGTGGCCGTGGTCGTGGCAGTGTAACGTCCAGTTTCTATAACCTATCTATGTGTAGATTTGCTTACTAGAGATAGAACTTTGACACATTTTGTATGGAGCTCATGTCAAAATTCTATCTCTAGTAATCAAATCTACAGATAGATAGGTTATAGAAACTGGACGTAAGTGGAGATGTGAGCTGTCCTGCTAATTGTCTTTACATTATCTTACTATAATATTATAAATGGGAAAATTTGTGAGTTTGTGCATCTTTGTTAGTCACTCACATCTAAATGGCTGAAGGAATTTTTCTCACTTTATAAACCTTCAATGGACTTACACGAATATTTGAAGACCGACGTTAGCCAAGTCAGTTCAGGCGTTTTCGAATTTTAGCGAGACTAACAAACTAACTAATGAATGGATATTTTATTTTGTAGAGATAGAGGATATATATATATATATATACACTTAATTATATTTTTTAATAACAGAGTCATCTTTTCATATCCTTTTCTTTATACATAACATAACATCACGCCTTTTATACCCGAAGGGGTAGGCAGAGGTGCACATTATACCACTGTACAATGTAACACCCACTTTTCACTATTTATGTTATGACTTATGAGTCCCATGTAATAGGGGGTGAGCCTATTGCCATAAACCGGGCACAATTCCAGACTCCGTGCTACTAATGAGAATATTTAAAAACCCAGTAATACTTTGCCCGACCCGGGAATCAAACCCGAGACCCCTTGCCCGGCAGTCGCACTTACGACCACTCGGCCAAAGAGGCAGTCAGTCTTTTCTTTATATTGTTTCCTTTATCATCCGAACATTTTTCATTAATGTTGTCTGCTGGAAAAACTACGAGGATCTCATATATTGGCTTATGTGTTATGCAATATTTAATACCTGAACTCCTAATATAAAATGTTAATAAAAAAACTTCTTTGACTTTTGATTGTTTATATTAATTTTGAAGCATTATTTTTTGTTAGTTAGGTACAGAAGCTAGCGCTGAAGTAATGTGTATATAATTATATTATTATACAAATAGAGGTCAGAATTGCATGAGGTTATATTGCATTGAAGTCGTAAGTGTAATTATTATCTTTGCTTAGATTTGTAATTAAGTAAATTAATAGGGATATAATATTATTAATAAGATATCATTTATTTAAAATTGTTGACTGATGCGTGTATTCTGAATAAGTAGGTACACAAACTTGCACATATAGGATGTTGAGAAATAGTCGATATTGAAACAACGACTACGACTGTGTCATCACTATTTTTTTATTATTAAGGGGGGAAAATCATAGAATGACTGCTCCCGCCTGGGTGAGGCGGGAGGGAGTGTCAGAATGTTACTGACTAAAAATCACCCCGTTCCTTCTCCTGCATTTCGAGCCGGAGCCCCGGTAACCCGTTAGGTTCTCTGCGACACATAGCAGAATGCACCTTCATTGACACGAAGGACATCTGTCGCATGACATGGCCCGTCATTACACTTCATACATTACGGTACGGTGTTGTAAGTACACGCACACATAAATACACTACTGACATTTTGGTGCTTTAATCAAAATGTCAGTAGTGTATAATGTAGAATATTTACATGGGTTAACCGTTGTTTTTAGTTATTTCAGTATGTCTCACGATAGTTATTTTATTATATATAATATAGGTTTTTGATTACCATCGTTTTCATCAACCTTTGGATATGACGTCAAAGTCAAAGTCAAAATCATTTATTTCAATTAACCAGAAAGGCACTTTTGAACGTCAACAAAAAATTAAAAGTGAAGCTATTTGCTCATTCCAAAGTGTAGATAGATTCCTATGGAGACGAACGAGCAAGAAACTCCATAGGTTACTCTTTTTCAATCAGGTTCAAAATACAATTACCTAGTTACATTTTTTTTTATATAGTGCGAAAATAATGTAACACTAAAATCCTGTCAAAGAGATCGAGAAAAATAATACAGTCTGCAGCTGACCAGTCCCAGTTTATGGCGCCCGTTCACGAACATGCCACGTACACCAGCACCGCCCAACTCAACCATATTGTCGGGAATCGAGCGATCCACTGCACGTGCGAGATCAATGAGACCTTTGAGTGAGCATGACAACTCCAAGCTGACACAAATGCATTCCTACTAGTCTAATTTAATATTCAGTTAATT